TTTCCTGAATTAGGTGCAGGCCGTAATAAGAGGCCATACAGCCCAAAAAAAGTATCATATCATCTTTGTTGCATTTCACTAAATATTTTTCACTACAGCAGTCCTTTAAGCCCTTGACACTGACGTAACACAAATATGCGGCCTCACAGAACTGGGTTTTTCTCCGTGGGGTCGCATATTTGCGCACCTGTCTTTGTGCTGGGAGCGCGCCGCACTGCGCGCTCCAAGCACAAAGACGGGGGTGTCACTGAGAGCCTTGGGTCGCATTCTAACCCGATTCCGGGTCACATGATCGCTGTGATAGCCTCTGATTGGCTATCACAGTGATCAGTCACTGTACAGTCTGGCACCCTGGTTTTTTTTTCTCTCTCTATGAATGGAGGAGAGAGATACATTATATCTCTCTAACCCCTGGCATAGAGGGGGAAAAAATGTTTGTAAAAACATTGGTAAGGGTAAGTGTTTGGGTCAGGGTCAAAGGTCAGGATTTAAAAAAAAATTGCGTCAGTGTGTTTTAACAAAAAACAAAATGCGCACTGTTGTTTCTGGGCTGTACTACGGATACAAACAACAAATAACATACACATATATGGTATCACTGAGAGCTGGAAAATGTATTTTTGGGTTGTTTTTTTGGTTGTAGGGTTATAGTAGTAAGAAGAAACACACAGCTAAATTTAAAAAAAAATTTTTTTTTTTAGTATTTTGGGCCGGTTTTCCTTTGATAATAAAAAAAATTAGATATCCATTACAATTTAAACCAAAATGAAAGCCCAATTTGTCTTGAAAAAAACAAGGTGTAATTCACCTGGATGTACAAAGTAGTTGTGATGATATGTACAGTTTTACTAACACATGTCAATGTTGCAAAATTGTGCTTAGGCATTAAGATTTGTTTTACCCTTAGGTGTGAAGGGGTTAATAATACCAGTCAATTGCAATGTAAAAATGTTAGTTGAATGTTTTATCTTTTGTTCGTCAACATGTCTTATCACTATATAATACAGACATTTGCCATGTTGTATCCACATTTTTATACATTTAGGAAAAAAAAAAACATGTTGAAATAAATATTAGTTTATTCATCTAGCCATCATAAATACATTGATCTTAAATAATAAGCAACAGCACCAGTCTTTATATAATACCAAGAATAAAAATCTCCAAAGTGCATTTTTTAGGCAGTATTCAGTGCCATTCTAATACAAATGACTGAATTCTACAATGCAATAAAACTGTAACATTAGAATAAGTTATATACTTTACAAACACACATTGTGAAAAACTAAAACAAAAAGGAAGTGGCTTAGTTGCATATGGTCCCACAACTGCCATCTCCACTGAGATTGTGTGCCCACGACAAAATAATTAATCCAGTCCCAAACATGCTGATTCTGTGGCAAAAAAATGTTTTGTCTCCTAGGGAATGAAAACTACAGGTGCCAGGAGTCCTACCTGAGACCAGGAGCAGTGCAGAAAATATGAGCAAAAAGATAAAAAAAAACTGCAGCTACTAGCAGGAAGGTGGTCTTTAAAAAGCTTGTTTGTGAAGAAATTTCTTTGTTTATACATTTAAAATATATACATAAAACTCTACTCTAGGCTCTGGCCTTGTCTATATATTTAGATACACCCCTATTTATTTTTCATAATACCACTGTCACTGACCACTGCGAGGAGAAATCCAAAGTTTTATAGTTAGTTGAACAGGGACAGATGGGAATTCTTACAATGAGCAAGGGAGAATGTCACCAGCACGCCAAGGATCACCAATATGGCTCCAAACGTTTTAACGAACGATCACATATTTACAGCAAGGCAACGTTTCAGAGTGTCGCAGGATCCCTTCATCAGCGATGTGATTGTCACATGCCTGATGAAGGCGGTCCTCTGACACTCAGAAATGTTGCCTTGCTGTAACTATGTGATCGTTCTTTAAAACGTTTGGATCCATATTGGTGATCCTTGGCGTGCTGGTGACATTCTCCATTGCTGATTCTGTTTGGTTCCAGCTGATGGCCGCTGCAGCACCAACTTATACACACAACCATTTTTAATGCAAGAACGTGTGAGTTTGGATTGTACACTTGCATTTTTACAATGAGGACACCCACTCTTGTGACATACACTGTACTGCCAAAAGTATTGGGAACGCCTGCCTTTACATGCACATGAACTATAATGCCATCCCAGTCTTAGTCTGTAGGGTTCAATATTGAGTTGGCCCGCCCTTTGCAGCTATAACAGCTTCAACTCTTCTGGGAAGGCTGTCCACAAGGTTTAGGAGTGTGTCTATGGGAATGTTTGACCATTTTTCCAGAAGTACATTTGTGAGGTCAAGCACTGATGTTGTATTAGAAGGCCTGACTCGCAGTCTCCGCTCTAATTCATCTCAAAGGTGCTCTATCGAGTTGTGGTCAGGACTCTGTGCAGGCCAGTCAAGTTCCTCCACCCCAAACTCGCTCATCCATGTCTTTATGGACCTTGCTTTGTGCACTGGTGCGCAGTCATGTTGGAACAGGAAGGGACCATTCCCAAACTATTCCCACAAAGTTGGGAGCATGAAATTATCCAAAATGTCTTGGTATGCTGATGCCTTAAGAGCTCCCTTCACTGGAACGAAGGGGCCAAGCCCAACCCCTGAAAAACAACTCCACATCTAATCCACCCTCCATCAGATTGCTAGACAGAGAAGCGTGATTCGTCACTCCAGAGAACATATCTCCACTACTCTAGAGTCCAGTGGCAGCGTGCTTTACACCACTGCATCCAACGCTTTGGATTGAACTTGGTGATGTAAGGCTTGAATGCAGCTGCTCAGCCATGGAAACCCATTCCATGAAGCTCTCTACACACTGTTGTTGTGCTAATCTGAAGGCCACACGAAGTTTGGAGAACTTTAGCTATTGATTCTGCAGATAGTTGGCGACTTCTGCGCACTGTGTGCTTCAGCATGCGCTGACCCCATTCTGTCATTTTACATGGCCTACCACTTCGTGGCTGAGTTGCTGTTCCCAGTTGCTTACACTTTGTTATAATACTACTAACAGTTGAGCGTGGAATATTTATTATTAAGGAAATTTCACAGCTGGACCTTTTGCACAGGTGGCAACCTATCACGGTACTACGCTTGAATTCATTGATCTCCTGAGAGCGACCCATTCTTTCACAAATGTTCGCAGAAGTAGTCTGCATGCCTAGGTGCTTGATTTTATACACATGTGGCCATGGAGGTGATTGGAACACCTGAATCCAATGATTTGGAGGAGTGTCTTAATACTTTTGGCAATATAGTGTGTGTTTCAGAGGGAATTTCTCCTCATTTTGAAGAGATTTCCTCATGCATCCTATTGTGTCCGTGGGACAGAATTTCCAAAAAATCTAGATACATCCGATATGAAAATTTCTGTTAAGTGGAGTTATCATTCTGCTTTTCCTATGGAGACTGCTTCCACGTGTGCGTACAAAGGCTAAGAAAAGATAATAATACAGAACAGATTCTGCTGTTCTGAATGTACTGTAATTTTAAGACATATATCCAAGTTGTTATAGCTATAGTGCATTATTGCAATATGATCCAATTTACCGATATGTTTCTGATTTACTATACTCTACTAAATCTACAGTACACCAGTGAAGAGTGGCATTAGCTGGGTAACCCAAGAAGCTAAAGTCCCTTAATTGTCCATTTGCACCTATAAACAGTTCAATGACAGGCCGTGACTCCCTTGCTACAGGCAGATCTCCCTTTTAGAGAGTTTTCTTTTGGATTCCATGTTGACTTATTAATTTGTGCCCTATTCAACCCAGAATATTATTTTGCAGCCTCCTGTCACTGTATCTATTGTAAATTGAGCATTGGTAAAAAAAAGGGTAGTCATAAATGAGCTGATAATGGAAAGCAATGCTCCCAATTTCAGTAATTGATTGAGCTTAAGGTGATTGTAGCCATATTAGTGCAATTGCAACAAGAAAAATTGAGTACTGTTTGTGATACTTTTTTTATTTGCACTGACATCCATATTTTCAGGATAAGCTTTCAGAGTGTACTCCCTTATCTAGGATCCAAGGTGTATTAGTACTGCTTGGATCTTGAAGAAGGGGTACACCCTAAAAGTTTTGTCCTAAAAATGTGGATGTTAGTTCAAATAAAAAAAACTATCACAAACAGTACTCAGTGATAGTTTGAGATGATTTGACCATTTCTGCTTTCCCAAAGGGCAGTTATGTGCACATTTAGAAGTCTAAGGCTCTACTTATTGCACAGGGTGATTTTTTAAATAGTTAGAAAATCAGGGAGCAGGCCTAAACCTTCATTTCGTGAAAAATGTATGGAAAGAAGGTACCACACGTACCACAGTGCTGCTGTCACTGCTGGGTAAGAACTGGGGTGGGCTCCAGGGCTGCGATGATTTATTTAATGACAGCAAGATATCTAGGTACCTGTCATTATATTGATCATATGCATTATTTTAACTGCCTATCATTATATTGATCGTGTACATTCACATTGATCATGTGCATTCATGGATGTACCATTATTTTCAAAATTGCATCACTTATTGTTATTATAATAACTAATCAACATAAATATATACGGTCTTAAAAATTTTGTTACTGCATTGGTTCTAATATGAAATTAAAAATACTAATTTTATGCATTAAAACATACATGCTTAACAGATTCCAGCATGCATGTTTATGGAAAGAGCTTTAACACCAAAAGACCTTTAGACGATTGGATCACGCCAGCATGTCCAACCACCATCTATTTCCTGTAGGAACCTTAAGATTCTAGATCTGTGAGCCCCTGTACTGCTATGTTCTATATACATGCCTTTATATTGCAGACGTTTTCATTGCTGTTGTTGTAGGCCCATGTATTGCTTGTGAAGGACTAAATAAAGCTAAGAAGGCTCGTTGCTCTTTATTAAGGCCTATGTTTTGGATTTTGCACTCTTCTTTATTTAGCATACAGTTCCTTCCTCGATTTCTATTTATCAAAATGCAGGAAAAACTGTTCTTTCTGCTGCAACTGCCATGGCATGAAATGTAGATTGTTTATTAGACAGAAGCACCGATGGTTTGTCAAACTCCAAAATCTGCATAAAAAATGGAAAATATATAAATAAAGTGAATTTATGTAAATAAAATATGTATACTATAAGTATTGCAGCCTCCTTATAATAACATTCATCCCCTGATTCTATTACACTTCCACTCCAGACGTTTGCAGGTCACCACTGGAGAGGAAATGACCAGTGTTACAATGCAGGAGGCAGGGGAGCTGTGATCAGTGCAGCTCACCTGTGGGAAACAAATTCAGTCCTTGTGTACTCAAATTTTTCTTAAGGTGTTTAAACCGTGGATATAAAAATCAACCTACATACAGCAAATAGAAAGATCTGTTTCACAATGGTTAGGATCACTTGATCTAAAGGCATAAAATGATCAACATGTTACCAATCCTTTCAGCTTTTTTGCAGCCATACAGCTTTTTACATAGCAACATAGTTAGTCTGACTGAAAAAAGACATAAGTCCATCCAGTTCAACCATAAAAAAAAAAGTTATAATCCTAAACCCACAGTTGATCCAGAGGAAGGCAAAAAAACCAGCAAAGCATGAGCTAATTTGCTCCTGCAGGGGAAAAAAATTCCTTCCTGATCCCCCGAGAGGCAATCGGATATTCCCTGGATCAACTTTACCTATAAACGTTTACCTATAATTTTTAGGGAGTCTATTCCACATTTATACTGTGAAGAAAGCTTTCCATATTTGGAGATTACATTTCTTTTTCACCAGACATAAAGAGTGCCCCCTTGTCCTCTGTGATGACCTCAGGGTGAAGAGCTCTACACCGAGTTCACTATATGAACCACTGATGTATTTATACATGTTTATCATATCCCCCCTTAATCTCCTCTTCTCAAGAGAGAATAAATTCAGTTCCTCCAATCTTTCCTCATAGCTGAGCTTCTCCATGCCTTTTATCAGTTTGGACCTTCTCTGTACTTCCGCCAGTTCCCCAATATTCTTTTTGTGAATTGGTGCCCAAAATTTAACTGCATATTCCAGATGAGGTCTTACTAATGATTTGTACAGGGGTAATATGATATCTCTCTCTCTGGAGTCTACACCTCTTTTAATACAAGAGAGGATTTTTATTGCTTTAGAAACCGCAGCTTGGCATTGCATGCCATTATTAAGCTTGTGATCTACCAGAACTCCCAGATCCTTCTCCACCATTGATTCCCCCAGTTGTACCCCACCTAGTATGTATAATGCATGCATATTCTTAGCCCACAAGTGCAGAACCTTACATTTATCAACATTAAACCTCATTTGCCACATACTGTAGTTGTCCAATTAAACAGTGCATTGAGGTCGGCTTGTAAATTGGAGACATCCTGTAAGGACATTATTCCACTGCACAGCTTGGTGTCATCTGCAAAGACTGAAATGGGATTTTTAATCCCAGACCCTATATAGTTTATAAATAAAGTAAAAAGTAAGGGTCCCAACACTGAACCCTGGGGTACACCACTGACAACCCTAGACCATTCAGAGTATGAATCATTAACCACTACTCTCTGAATACAATCTTTTAGCCAGTTATCTAGCCATTTACATACGGATTTTTCCAAGCCTGTAGACTTCATCTTACACATTAGCTGTGTGTGAGGAACTGTGTCAAACGCTTTTGCAAAATCCAAGAAAACCACGCCCAACGCCACCCCTCTGTCCAAGGGTTTGCTAACCTCCTCATAAAAAGAAATCAGGTTTGTTTGACAACTTCTGTCTTTCATGAATCCATGCTGTCTGTTGCTTAGAATATTTTTTTTTCCAGCAAGAATTCATCTATGTGGTCTTTTATTAAACTCTCCAGTATCTTCCCAACTATAGAAGTTAAACTAACAGGTCTATAAATGGTAAATATTTTGACCCCTTTTTAAATATATGCACCACTTCTGTAGGACTCTCTATTTACAACAACCCTATTTTGTGTCATAGGTATTAAACATGTAGTAAACATTACTTACAAACACAATATACTGTATATATATGTTTGTTCATTTATAATATAACTAGTTATTTGTCCTAGAGTCAATCCTACATTGAACACTTTGAAGTCATTCTCCTTACTTACTTCTCCATGGTCCATCACCATGATCCTGTCACAGTGGAACACAGTATTGAGGCGATGTGCTATAATGAGCACAGTGCATTTACAAAATGCATCGTTGATTGTTTTTTGAATCAGCACATCTGTTTCATTATCAATTGCTGCCGTAGCTTCATCTAACAGTAATATCTAATAAGAAAAAAACATGATACCAGGTTATAATAAACAACATAATATAACAGGACAATCTCAATGGACCATGAATTCAAAACAAGATCAAGATTTTAATATCTTTAACTGAATGACAACTATGGTTTGCTAAATGTATATAACCATATTTTGTTTATGTCAAGCATTAAAGTGGATGTAAAACTTATTTTTTTTTTATTATTATAATGTCATACTTACTTGCTCAGCGCAATGGTTTTGCACAGAGCAGCCCCGATCTTCCTCTTCTGGGGTCCGCCGTAAGCGCTCCTGGCTCCTTCTCTGCATGCTGGGCTAGCACCCTTCCTGTGTTTGGAAAGTGGATGTTAATTGCTGGCTTACCTTGAGCAGTAGTAGAAGGTGATGTGCCCACCATAGAAAACCGCTTTCTATGGGGGCACTCGTTTGGGCTCGATCCCAAGCTGCCCTGTGTGCGTCTATAGACACAGACTGTGGCTCCGCCCTGCCCCTGCTCCTTCATCACAGAATTTGATTGACAGCAGTGGGAGCCATTGGGGGGAACCCCTGTGAGAAGGGATAGATTGGAGAGAGTCGCTGTTTTCACTCACATTGCTGGATTGTGATCGAGCTCAGGTAAGTATAAAGGGGGTGAGTGTAGAATCGTGTGGCACAGAAGCTTTTTTACCCTAATGCAGAGAATGCATTGGGCTAAAAAAGAAAAAAAAACCTTTAGGCTTTAGAGTGACTTTAAATGTTCAGCTATCTGAAAGTATGTAATGAGAACAAAAAGTACAGTATGTCTATTTGTTTTGGCACTATATAAATATGTCTTTCTGACACCACACTGTGTGAAGCTGTCCCCTTAAAGTCTAACTCCATGTCTTAGCCCGGTTCACACTGATTCTGACTTTGAAATCGTTTGACTTCACTTGAAGTCACACGATTTCAGGCGTATGGCGGTGCGACTTCAGGTGCAACTTGATAGACATCTCTGTGACCTCATGCACAGATGTCTATTCATGTCACACCCAAAATTGGCAAAAGTAGTGCAGGAACTACTTTTAAAATTGGTGTGACTCCAACTTTGTAGAAGTTCTATTGCCGATCACTAGATGCGATTTGTCATGCAATTTGAATGGTTAAATCGAAAAATAATTTGCATCAGTGTGAACCAGGGCTTAGTGAACTTTAGTTTTTTCGGGACTCAGCTAGTCCAAACAAACGATTTCCTCCACTAACAGATACAGCAGCTTGTCAGCATTATAGGAACTGTATGTAGCTTCAGCTACTTAGTAAACAGAGCTGTGTTCTGGCAGTGGGATAAGGATTTCCCTTCCTGCTCCTGGAACAAAATTGAGTTGGACTGAACACTGCCCATCCATTCACAGGAAGCTTTGTATTTCCTGAATAAATACAAAACTTCCTCTGATTGGCGGATGATTATTTAAAGTTCACTAAAACATGGATTTAGGCTTTAAGTTATATGGATATTTTATTATATATATTTTATGTACAAGAACCTCTCAGACTCTTCTAATCCTGTATTCTTTCACAGTAGTATACGTGCCCAAGTTCATTTTTAGGAAGTTTGTTAGACACATTCCTGAAGAGGCTCTTTCTTGGAAGCACACTATAGGACATCAGTGAAGGGAAAGGCAGGCAATCCAACCAAAAAGTGATAACAGTACCTGACTGTACAGAAGACTACATGTTGCTGAAAGTTTTCAATGTATCCAGACCTAGAAAAGTGGAATGTGCCTCCATTACTATCTTACTCTTGTACTTTGCTATTACTGCTCACTCGTCTTCTTGCATCTGCTGTCAGGCAACGGTGGTGTGGCAACTGAAAGTGTCTATGGTGTCAAATTAAATGTTCTTGAAATGACACTGTGGACTTTTTGTAATAAAAATAGACACAAATCCCCTTCCCCATGTAGCTACTAAACTATATACAGGTACATAACCCTCTCTCTTTCTGCCCTTTGGTAAAAAGATCATGCACCCATGCAATAAATTAAAGGAGATCTATAATCACAGCATACACCTTCATTTTACAACACCAGCATTGTACTAGCATTACAAACAATAGCTATTTTTGACAATCCAGTCTACTTTCAAGTTGTGAGCACTGCCTGTCTGCTGGCCATCTCTTTCCACACTTTCCTGGATTCACTGCATCCTTTGCAGCTTCTCCTCTGCTGCTCACTTTCAATGCCTAAGAACTACATGTCCCATGATACTGACTCCACCTCCTGAAACTCCTCCTCTCAGCACCTCTGTAGTTCAGAAGGCAGGCTCTGTGAAATGTGTGATTTAGCAGTGCCTATTCACAGGATATAGTGAATAAGTGTCACAGAATTCAAGGGATTAAATGTGTGGGCATCTTCACAAAGTAACTTTACAAATGTCGAGATCATTCAGATTATTAGGAGTAATGCAGTAAAATAATGCATGCGGTAACTACAAGGCCCCTTCAGTCTGGTATTGATTTTAAGGAAAACCCCACCCCAAAATGAAAAAAAAAAAAACCCTTAGGTCTGCTATGGATTTTGGGGGGACCCCACACCATTTGTTCTTAAAATTTTGGCATGGGGTTCTCCTTAAAATCCATACCAGACCCAAAGGGCCTGATAAGGATTGGGGGGGGGACCCCCATGCTGCATCTGAAAAAATACCGCATTTGATACCACCAGCAAAACCCTGGTGAAAAATCTCATCTTTTTTTTACTTTCTGTTCTGTTTGTGAATTGGACTTAACAGCTTACCGCATTTTTTTTGCAATATTTACTGGCACACTTTTCATTCTGCGTTAAATACTGCATGATCATTACTTTTTATTATGAATTTGACATGTTTTTATTGTATGCAATAATTTATGCAAATGAGTCACGTGTCCATGTTATCGCATATGGTAATCTTTAGTGAATTGACCCCCTATGCCCCTTAAAGGAGAAGTACAGCCAAAGCTCTTTTGGCTGTACTTCTCCCATGGATCACAGGAGTGCAGTTCATTCTGCACTTCTGTGACCCGTGTTCAGCTGAAGTCCGCTGTTGGCTGATGTCATTCAGCCAGTCTAGGCTGGGGAATGATGCCGAATTGGAAGGGAAAAAGCTCTACTTTTCTTTTAAATTTGCTCATAGAATCTCTCTTTTTCTATATTACATAATCAGTAAAGTGAGAAATGACTTAAAATTTGTAAATTTGGAACCTGGTTATGTGACTTGAAAACCTGTTTATACTTATTGTGCTTTTTGGTTGTCCTGACTCAACATACACTACAGGTGAAACTCGAAAAATTAGAATATCGTGCAAAAGTTCATTTATTTCAGTAATGCAACTTAAAAGGTGAAACTTATATATGAGATAGACTCATTACATGCAAAGCAAGATAGATCAAGCCGTGATTTGTCATAATTGTGATGATTATGGCTTACAGCTCATGAAAACCCCAGAAAACTCAGAAAATTAGAATATTGTGAAAAGGTGCAATATTCACGGCTCAAAGTGTCCCACTCTAATCAGCTAATTAAGCCATAACACCTGCAAAGGGTTCCGGAGCCTTTAAATGGTCTCTCAGTCTGATTCAGTAGGAATCACAATCATGGGAAAGACTGCTGACCTGACGGTTGTGCAGAAAACCATCATTGACACCCTCCATAAGGAGGGAAAGCCTCAAAAGGTAATTGCAAAAGAAGTTGGATGTTCCCAAAGTGCTGTATCAAAGCACATTAATAGAAAGTTATGTGGAAGAGAAAAGTGTGGAAGCAAAAGGTGCACAAGCAGTAGGGATGACTGCAGCCTGGAGAGGATTGTCAGGAAAAGGCCATTAAAAAGTGTTGGGGACTTTCACAAGGAGCGGACTGAGGCTGGAGTCAGTGCATCAAGAGCCACCACACACAGATGGATCCTGGACATGGGCTTCAAATGTCGTATTCCTCTTGACAAGCCGCTCCTGAACAACAAACAACGTCAGAAGCGTCTTACCTGGGCTAAAGAAAAACAGACCTGGTCTGTTGCTCAATGGTCCAAAGTCCTCTTTTCTGATGAGAGCAACTTTTGCATCTCATTGGGAAACCAAGGACCCAGAGTATGGAGGAAGAATGGAGAGGCACACACTGCAAGATGCTTGAAGTCCAGTGTGAAGTTTCCACAGTCTGTGTTGATTTGGGGAGCCATGTCATCTGCTGGTGTTGGTCCACTGTGCTTCATTAAGTCCAAGGTCAATGCAGCCATCTACCAGGAGATTTTGGAGCACTTCATGCTTCCTTCCACAGATGAGCTTTATGGGGATGCTGACTTCATTTTCCAGCCGGACTTGGCACCTGCTCATACTGCCAAAAGCACCAAAACCTGGTTCAATGACCGTGGGATTACTGGGCTTGATTGGCCAGCAAACTCGCCTGACCTGAACCCCATAGAGAATCTATGGGGCATTGCCAAGAAAAAGATGAGAGACATGAGACTGAACAATGCAGAAGAGCTGAAGGCCACTATAGAAGCATCCTGGTCTTCCATAACACCTCAGCAGTGCCACAGGCTGATAGCTTCCATGCCACGCCGCATTGAGGCAGTAATTGCTGCAAAAGGGGCCCAAACCAAGTACTGAGTACATATGCATGCTTATACTTTTCAGAGGTCCAATATTGTTCTATGTACAATCCTTGTTTTATTGATTGCATGTAATATTCTAATTTTCTGAGATTGTGGATTTGGGGTTTTCATGAGCTGTAAGCCATAATCATCACAATTATGACAAATCACGGCTTGAACTATCTTGCTTTGCATGTAATGAGTCTATCTCATATATTAGTTGCATTACTGAAATAAATTAACTTTTGCATGATATTCTAATTTTTCGAGTTTCACTTGTATGTTGCCAAGAGTATCGGGACGCCTGCCTTTATTGAATGTTGAGATGGCCCACTCTTTGCAGCTATAACAGCTTCAACTCTTTTGGGAAGGCTGTCCACAAGATTTAGGATGGTCCCAATGGGAATGTTTGACCAATATTCCAGAAGCGCATTTTTTTTGGGTCAGGCACTGATTTCAGACAAGAAGGCCTGGCTCGCAGTCTCTGCTCTAATTCATCCCAAAGATGTTCTATCGGGTTGCAGTCAGAACCAGGCCAGTCAAGTTCTTCCACCCCAAACTCGCTCATCCGTGTCTTTAAGGACCTTGCTTTGTGCACTGGTGTGCAGTCCTGTTGGAACAGGAAGGCCATCCCCAAACTGTTCCCACAAAGCTGGGAGCATGAAATTGTCCAAAATGTCTTGGTATGTTGATTCCTTAAGAGTTCCCTTCACTGGAACTAAGGGGCCAAGTCCAACCCCTGAAAAACAACTCCACACCATAATCCCCCCTCCAAACTTTACACTTGGCACAATGCAGTCAGGCAAGAACCGTTCTCCTGGCAACCGCCAAACCCATACACGTCCATTAGATTGCCAGACAGAGAAGCGTGATTCATCACTGCAGAGAACACGTCTCCTCTACTCTAGAGTCCAGTGGCAGCTTGCTTTACACCACTGCAGCCGATGCTTTACATTGCACTTGGAGATGTAAGGCTTGGATGCAGCTGCTCAGTCATGGAAACCCATTCAATGAAGCTCTCTACGCATTGCTGTTGTGCTAATCTCAAGGCCACATGAAGTTTGGAGGTCTTTAGCTGTCGACTCTGCAGACAGTTGGCGACTTCTGCGCACTGTGCGCTTCAGCATGCGCTGACCCCACTCTGTCATTTTAAGTGGTCTACCACTTCGTGGCTGAGTTGCTGTTGTTCCCAGTTGCTTCCACGTTGTTATAATACCACAAACAGTTGACCGTGGAATATTTAGTAGCAAGGAAATTTCACGGATGGACTTATTGCACAGGTGGCAACCTATCACGGTACCTCGTTTGAATTCACTGAGCTCCTGAGAGTGACCCATTCTTTCACAAATGTTTGTAGAAGCAGTCTGCATGCCTAGGTGCTTGATTTTATACACCTGTGGCAATGGAGGTGATTGGAACACCTGAATCCAATGATTTAGAGGGGTGTCTCAGTACTTTTGGCAATATAGTGTATCTCAATTTGAATAGAAAATCTGCTTGGTTAAAGATTTATTAGCAACCAACGAACAATAATAGATTTTAATGGTTTGAACTGACAAAATCAGAGCCGACTAGTTCTTTTACATGTTATTATTTTGAATGTGCCATCAAATACAGGCCAGTAGGTCCACTGTGTGGGTGTCAGAAGCAGACAAGGCAGGAAAATATTCACTGCATAATCATGCAATTACATTAATTAAAAGCAGTACATTGTAAAACTGTCCACATACCTTACTATTCCTAAGTAAAGCCCGTGCCATGCATAGCAGCTGTCGCTCACCGACTGAGAAATTACTGCCATTTTCTGCTACTTGGAAATGTAGCTGTCCTTGTAGCTGAGCTACCTATAAGGTATATTAAAATAAATACATTTCACATAAGCCCCCAGAGCCACACTAAACTACAATAAGCAATACGTAGGTTACGTTTTCTACCTAGCTAAGCATGTTCTTTTAACTTTCAGGGCACAAACATCAGTTTAGAGAAAATCTCAGATGGACAGGTATTGTTCTTTAAAAATAGACTGTGTTTCTAAATAACATGGACCACCAGAAAGTGACATGTCATTTTTTTGTAAGAGAGTGAAACCACCTGTTGCTTTCTTATATACCTCTTATGATACATCACAGTTAACTGTTTTCCATCTGAAGCTTTTTACACAAGGTTATTTTGCTTTATGATAATAAATTAATTCCAAGCAATATTAAATTGGTCGTAAACTCCTACACACACACATTGAAGTGACTACCCTCAGGTGAAACACAGAGATAAAAAGATCATTGTGCATAAGTTGTACCTGGTTGTCCACAGTCTTCTCTTCTCTACATCCATTCAAAGTCCAGAATTTACAAAGCTGTCTGGGCTTTCAAAAAAAAACAAAAAGGGGGCGGAGATCTGAAATTACACACTTCAGAGCTCAGTAAAGAGAGTTCTGAGAGCTGATTGGAGGGAGGGGACACCCCCCTCCCCTTCACATAACACACATGACCAGAGCTCAGGCTATCAATCTGCTGGAGCTCCCTCCCCTATCACCTTTTTTTCTCTTGGTGTCAGAAGTGATTCATGCTGATAGCAGAGAAATGAAGCGGCAAACAGAAAAAAAAACCACTTCTGCTCTGGATTGAGACAATTACACACTATAGAGGGATATGCTTTGTACGTACAGTATTTTATATCTGATGATTACAAACACTTAAATAATCTAGCACTGGGACAAAAAGTGTCATCAATGAGTGACGAAGATAGAGAAGTGAATGGATGATAGACACATAAACGTATACACATAAACATGATTAATATCCAATGGCCAATGATGCTAAAGCAAAGAACAATAAATATTGTAACAATCGAAAATATCGTGTCATAAATCTGGTGTCTTGGGATACAAGCAGTCCTCAGAAGAAATGCATCAAATATTGGTGCTCGTGCCTTCCGTGGTAAGGAAATTAAGTGTTCTTGCACTCACCGGAAGTGCAATATTAATGCGCATGTAATGTAATATCTGGGAAGGTGGTCATCATGGTACTGGCGGGGATAGGGGGCTCCACTGGTACACAACGCACACAGGAAAGGCACTCCAGACCTCACAGCTCGGACCCTCATAGCATACAGGGACTGCTCCTATTAATTTGCGTTCACCAGGAAATCGATATGCCAAACACGATAAGTATCCACCTTAAATGGCGGTGTGATCGGCTCCCCAGTACTCACATTAAATCACAGATTCTATCAGGCACAGCTCCTCTATACATACAGATGTTGTATACCGGGAACTTTTCAAACATGATCCCTCCCCCTTCACGACGTCACCACACTGCGCTTGACACACATAAGCGTTCCACCAATGGCCCTGGTGCTTTGGGTTGTGTTACTTCCGTATCGAGCAGATTTAACCCCTCTATTTCAGTGTATGTGAACACAGGGGTTATGTTGCTGCGAATATTACTGTGTATGCTTGATATGGAAGTAACACAACCCAAAGCACCAGGGCCATTGGTGGAACGCTTATGCATGTCACTTCTGACAGGATCAACATGTATTATTCCATATTTGCAGAAAATGTACTAAAAAAAAAACTAATGAAGCTATCAAATTTAAAAAAAAAAACTAACAGAAATCATAATTTAAAAAAAAATGGCCCAACTCCATTATAGTTTCCCTTTAAATGCTATTGTTGGCCTTACAGCAAACAAAGTAATAATGGCTGCATGAGGTGGTAAAACTGGTGGTGAAACATAAATTCTGAAATAATAGGGAGTATAGTTTTGTTAAGTCTGCTTTAAATAAAAATACTGACTATACATGTCCTTCCATCAATTAAATTGTTAAAGCTAAACTCTGGTTGGCCTTTAGGTGTCCACAGCAAGATAGAATTCTTCTTTTTTCTGGGTGAAGGTAAAGTAGAAGAATACTTTTATTATTCTTTGCTCTCCTGATAGCCAGTGCACTTATAAGATTGGCTCCACAATGTGAGCAGGTCTTGAATTTCCTCATGTACAGTGCAGGGCCACTTATGTGGTTCTTGAGGGGATGGCTGAACAACAGCAAAGAAGAGAAGCTTCGAGAGGGCCATTTGTCCATCCAGGAAACTGGCAGGGGAGAATCCTGCAGAACCAAGGAATAAGACAAGTACTCCTCCAATTTACACCCTCTCCCCTATAGTAATCAAGCATTCAACTTTTACTATTCAAAGAGGGCATCCGAAAGTAACTATTAAAGACTGGCCAGAGTTCAGCTTTCCATTTTCTGTTTGAAGATAGAATACATTGGCAGTGCATACATAATGATCAAATGTTTCACAGTCATTTAATAGTATTTGAATTAGTATTTTGCAGTATGTCCAAAGTCAATTCTGTGGAATCATAGAGGACAAAGGTAATTGCTCTTCATTGCAAATCTAAAAACCAAGGAATATAATGGTATTCAATTCAGGCAGCAGCCATTGGATTTTATGAACATGCTTGGACACGTGGGTACCTTCAGATGTAGGCACAGAGAAAAATTCTTAAAGTTATCAGTCAGTGAGTATACATACGTGTTGTTTCATGTGGGTTTTTTCTAAAGCTTTCCACACTTCTTCATCTGTGTACTGATTCATTGGGTCCAAATTCAACCTATAATTTGGCATTTATTATTTTGGTATATGTTCAAAACACTATGTGGTATTAGTAATTGGCATACTACCATTGACGTAAGACTTCAGAAAGTAATGATATATACTGTATATAAATAATAGTCATTGGTGGGAATGAACACATGCACCTACATACTATATCTATTAACTTTTTTTTATCTTTCATATTTTGCTTTTAAATAATATGTAATCATGACTAATTAAAGTGGGGCCCCAGTCAATTTTACAGTTTTGAACAAAATGGAAGAGCCAGAACCCATGGGGTTTATTTACTAAAGCTGGAGAGTCCAAAATCAGACTCCCTTCTGCATACAAACCAATCAGCTTCCAGGTTTCATTGCCAAAGCTTCATTGAACAAGCTGAGGTTAGAAGCTGATTGGTTTCTATGCAGAAGGGAGTCTGATTTTGGACTCTCCAGCTTTAGTAAATAAACCCCTGCGTGTCTCTATTCCGGAGATTTATCTTCACTTTCTGTTTCAGAGACACAGCAGGAAATGAATGGAACGATGCCCAAAGTGAGGGTAAATCTCAACCACATCACCAGAACAGGTGTCCCCATTGGAAGAGTTTTCTTGTATTCTGTGCCAATAATAACCATAACATTTTGAAAAGTATCTCATCTGTCTTGGTGACAATGGTTACTAGAACAAATAGCAAGGATGACTGCTCAAAAAGGGACACAACAACAATCCAAATAGTTATGAACCACGCTTCGCAATCCTATCTTATATAGGTTCCATATATCTATCAACCCTAACAGACTATATAATTATTTTGTATCTGTCATTTTAAAACTGAAGCAGATTCTATTTCAGACATTGTAATACTGTTTTTCAGCTCACCTGATGCTTCCAACAAACAAAACAGGTTCTTGTGGAATGATAGAAAGCTTTTTTCTCAGGTCCTCCAGTCCAATTGAATGAATGCAGATGTTATCAATATTGACTGAACCTCCAGACAGTTCAACCAGTCTGAAGATTGTCATTGCTAAGGATGATTTGCCTGTTGAGTCATAAAATAAAATAGTCTAAAATTTTAATCCTCCAATAATTCTGGTGAGAAATTCTAAAACAAGTATGCAGTAAAAACATCCCAATTCCATGTACTGGGGACCTGTAATCCAACAACACACAAAAAATTAGGTGAAAAAAGGTCTAGCAGGGGGCCAAGGATTAGCCATCAGTATTCTCTATAGAATTCCTGCAGCTGATCTTTTCCCCAGGGCCAATTTACCATTCTTTGTTCTGTGCAAAGTCTCCCCATGACCTGAAATAAACTGGTGGGAGCAATCAACAGACAGTGGGAGAGGTAGTGATGCCCTAGATACAGAGACAGCAGGAGCACAGGATTCGGTTAACATCAGAAAAAGAAGAGATAAATCCATAGAATGAATGAAGGTGGATCATGTAGATCACTATACTGCAGGTCCTGCCAGTATACCCAGTATAACCCAGTATACGCAGCCAACGTTCTGTCCATGTATACCACTGTCTGTTCAACCAAGCCAGTCTAACCAATGGCTGCAAACACTGATCCATGTTATCTAGCTGGAGGGAGTCCCCGCTGTCAGACTGCAATGTCCTAGCTGGAGAGATCCCTGCATCAGCATCATTTGCACTAATGCAGGGATCTGTCAGGTTTTTTTTTTCATTCAACCCCCTGGTTGAATGAGAAATTGTAATCTTACATTGTTTTCTATAAAGTAAATCTTTTTATCCATTTCAATACATAAAAATCAGTAAAGTCCTAAAAGGATGCATACAGCTCAAAGGTATGCGAACCTTAAGAAAATAGTTTAGCAAGATACTGTATAAAGCATATGGAATTAATTTAACCCTTATTTCAATTAATAGAATAGATGAAAAGCTATATTATTTAAAAATGATTCAATGCATCAGTAATACTCTGAGTTACTGTTTTAAGAAAGTATATGTAGAGGTTTTATGAGTTCTGTGAAAAGGGGCTTTATCTTAATAATTCTGAATATAATTCTGAATATATACGTATGTATATATATATATTTCCCTTTAGGATTAATAAAGTATTCTGATTCTGAGATGATCTGTGTGGTCCGTGTATTACTTCAGATGGAGAAATACTGTATCCTAAGGTAAACAGTACAACAATGTAGCAGTAAGCCAATTCTGATTACAGTTAAGCACCTGAAATATTAATACAGTCAAAATAAACAGATACTGACTGAGCAACTCATGGCTCTATGGCAGGGGTGGGCAAACTTTTTGACTTGAGGGCCGCAATGGGTTCATATATTGGACCCAGGGGCCGGACCAAGAGTAGATGAATGATGTGTATGTGTCATCCATAGTAAGTATAGTAATATTCCCCCATAATAAGCATAGTAATTAATCCCCCATATAGTAATTAATCCCCCATATAGTAATTCATCCCCCATATAGTAATTCATCCCCCATAGTAATTCATCCCCCATATAGTAATTCATCCCCCATATAGTAATTCATCCCCCATAGTAATTCATCCCCCATATAGTAATTCATCCCCCATATAGTAATTCATCCCCCATAGTAATTCATCCCCCATATAGTAATTCATCCCCCATAGTAATTCATCCCCCATATAGTAATTCATCCCCCATATAGTAATTCATCCCCCATAGTAATTCATCCCCCATATAGTAATTCATCCCCCATATAGTAATTCATCCCCCATAGTAATTCATCCCCCATATAGTAATTCATCCCCCATATAGTAATTCATCCCCCATAGTAATTCATCCCCCATATAGTAATTCATCCCCCATATAGTAATTCATCCCCCATAGTAATTCATCCCCCATATAGTAATTCATCCCCCCTATAGTAATTCATCCCTCATATTAATTCATCCCTCATATAGTATTTCATCCCCCATAGTAATTCATCCCCCATAGTAATTCATCCCCCCCATAGTAATTCATCCCCCCTATAGTAATTCATCCCCCCTATAGTAATTCATCCCCCCTATAGTAATTCATTCCCCATATTAATTCATCCCCCATATTAATTCATCCCTCATATAGTATTTCATCCCCCATAGTACTATTCCCCCCCAAGTAGTAAGCCAAGTCCCCCCTGTGTCAATTTACTTACCTTTGCTCCACGCGTTCCTCTCGCCGTGTTCCCGCACCGTTCCGGTCTTCAGGGCGGACTGAGAGGAGCCTAGCTCCCCTCACGTTCCTCGCGCTGCCCCGCCTACACACATTCTGACAGCCGATGTTTGCCACGCTCCGCGGGCCAGATTAAAAGGTCCGCCGGGTCGTATACGGTCCGCGGGCCGTAGTTTGCCCATTGCTGCTCTATGGCCTTCCAGTAAAGCACCTACAAAGGGTACTTGCATTTGAATTTCATTCAATGAAGCAGTCCTATGGAAACTGCAATTTTAGGGTGCTGGATCAATAAACAAATGTTTATGTACAGAATAATCTGTAAAGCTATGTATTTGCATAGGTTGTAGCAACAGTCTTTTTCATACCTGGCTTCAGAGTTCCCTAGCTGATTATTTGAAACAGACCCAGCATATTGGCTGATAGGGGTCACTGCTAGCAAAAGTTTTAACATTGAGCATGTCTGCCTGGTAATTTGAGTACGAGTATATCAATGCTATATAATATTAGACATAATGAGAAGTGTGAATCAACAATTATTATTTCAGTGTAAGATTAATTATGCACATTTGTAAAGACGAACCTGATCCTGTTCTCCCCACTATTCCTATCTTTTCTTCTGGTTTAACATTGAACGATATTTTCTTCAACACCAATGGTAGGTTGTCACGATAACGCATATCAACATTCTCAAATGTTATTTCCCCTTTTTCAGGCCATTCTTTGGGTGGTGACTTTATTGGTTCAGGGCAAGTTTCTTCTGACTCCAGATTCTGGGAAAATAAAGAGTAAAAGACTGTTTGCATTATAGGTGACAAGCTTAATAAGATCACACCAGCATATAGATTCTGTTCTACTACTTTCTATGACTTATTGGATGACTGTATCTACTTATGACTGATTAAAGTAAACAAAGGACTTTATGTAAATCTCCAGATTAATACATTGGCATACTGTATAGTTAGTAGGATACACAACCTACAGTACTGAGGGCCCCAGGGCAAGACATGTATGATGTACCTATTACCAAAGGTTAGCCTTGTTAGCCTCCACAAAGAATCATTAGGAACGTGTTCTTCCAGGCCTCCAACCTGGTGTGCAATAATGGCTACCTCTAGGCCTGATACAGAATTTTGTCTTGGGGAAAAGGGGTGCCCTGTAACTCTATTAATTCACCCATTGAACTGTAGCTGTCAACTATTTACCCTGATAAACAAAGGTTTTGTTTCAAATTGTAAAATAGATATGTACACTATATTGCCAAAAGTATTGGGATGCCTGCCTTTACACGCACATGAACTTTAATGGCATCCCAGTCTTAGTCCATACGGCTGGCTCACCCTTTGCAGCTATAACAGCTTCAACTCTTTTGGGAAGGCTGTCCACAAGGTTTAGGAGTGTGTCTATGGGAATGTTTGACCATTCTTCCAGAAGTGCATTTGTAAGGTCAGGTACTGATCTCAGACGAGAAGGCCTGGCTCGCTGTCTCCGTTCTAATTCATCCTAAAGGTGTTCTATCATGTTGAGGTCAGGATTCTGTGCAGTCCAGTCAAGTTCCTCCACCCCATACTCGCTCATCCATGCCTTTATGGACCTTGCTTTGTGCACTGGTGTGCAGTCATGTTGGAACAGGAAGGGGTCATCCCGAAACAATTCCTACAAAGTTGGGAGCATGAAATTGTCCAAAATGTTTTGGTATGCTGATTCCTTAAGAGTTCCCTTCACTGGTACTAAGGGGCCAAGTCCAACCCCTGAAAAACAACTCCATACCATAATCCCCATCCACCAAATTGTACACTTGGCACAGTGCAGTCAGGCAAGTACCGTTCTCCTGGCAAACGCAAAACCCAGACATGTCCATTGGATTGCCAGACAGAGAAGCGCAATTCATCACTCCAGAGAACGTCTCCACTGCTCTAGTGTGCCGTGGCGGCGTGCTTTACACCACTGCATCTGATGCTTTGCATTGCACTTGGTGATGTAAGGCTTTGATGCAGCTGCTCGCCCATGGAAAGCCATTGCATTAAGCTCCCTATGCATTGTTGTTGTGCTAATCTGAAGGCCACATGCAGTTTGGAGGTCTTTAGCTATTGACTCTGCTGACAGTTGGTGACTTCTGCGCACTGTGCGCTTCAGCATGCGCTGACCCCGCTCTGTCATTATACATGGCCTACCACTTCGTGGTTTAGTTGCTGTTGTTCCCAGTTGCTTCCACTTTGTTATAATACCACAAACAGTTGATTGTGGAATATTTAGAAGCAAGGAAATTTCACGGATGGACTTATTGCACAGGTGGCAACATATCACGGTACCATGCTTGGATTCACTCCTGAGAGCGACCCATTCTTTCACAAATGTTTGTAGAAGCAGTCTGCATGCCTAGGTGTTTGATTTTATACACCTGTGGCCATGGAGGTGATTAGAACACCTGAATCCAATGATACGGAGGGGTGTCCCAATACATTTGGCAATGTAGTCTATTTTAGAACTCTATTTACAATGCTCAAGTGTGCTTTATACTGCTAATCAAAGTTTAAATTTTTAAAAAATTAGATTTCTTTAGGTGCTCAATTTTTTCTTTCATTTTGATGCCACTTTGAGACCATTATACCCTTGGGTCTAAAGTAGACAAACAAAAAAGTAAATGTCAACTCACTAAAAATAGATCAGACATTCAACCAGTCACTAATTTAGCTAGGACATTCAGAATGGCATAGATCGCACACTTAAATCCATCTATGCTCAGAGAAAACAGTGTCTCCAATAAATATGACCATTTCCAATATTTTTTTCAATTCTCACATTTTCTGCCACAACTCGTATCAGGTCTGAGAGGTAAGTCTATGAAGGTCGGCTAAAAACTGCTTTATCATTTATTACAATTCACCCTATTTAATCATTATATTCATATTTTGTTTGCCTTGTGTAGTTTATAACAGTCCTGTATATAGAGATGTAATGTAAGTGTAAAACGATAATGGAAACAGATAGCCTATTAAAGGAACTGGCACAATGAGGACATTCCCAAAATAGTTAGAGTGGATTGTTCTTTATTTTCTCTACTCTAGCAAACATTAGTGGAGAAACAGCCTAGAACAGCTTCATAAACAAATGAAACTTTTAAGATAGACTTTTTCAGACAGAAAAGCATAGGAAATGTTTAATTTGGTCTATTAAGGAAAGATTCTAATGAATCTGAAAAAAGACAAAAGTCTATCCAGTTCAACCATTAAAAAAGTTATAATCCTATACCCACAGTTGAGCCAGAGAAAGGCAAAAAACCCAGCAAAGCACGATCCAATTTGTTCCTGCAGGGGAAAAAGTTCCTTCCTGATCCCCCGACAGGCAATTGGATATTCCCTGGATCAACTTTACCTATAAATGTTAGTAACCAGTTATATTCTGTGTATCCAAGAAAGAATCCAGGCCATTTTTAAAGAAATCCACTGAGCTGGCCAGAACCAACTCTTGAGGGAGTCTATTCCACATTTTCACAGCTCTTACTGTGAAGAAACCTTTCTGTATTTGGAGATTACATTTCTTTTCCTCCAGATGTAAAGAATGCCCCCTTGCCCTCTCTGATGACCTCAAAGTGAATAACTATATGAACCACTGATGTATTTATACATGTTGATCATATCCCCCCTTAATCTCCTCTTCTCAAGAGAGAATAAATTCAGTTCCTCTAATCTTTCCTCATAGCTGAGCTCCTCCATGCCTCTTATCAGTTTGGTCGCCCTTCTCTTTACTTTCTTCAGTTCCCCAATGTTTTTGATGAATTGGTGCCCAAAATTGAACTGCATATTCCAGATGAGGTCTTACTAATGATTTGTACAGGGGTAATATGATATCTCTCTCTCTGTAGTCTACACGTCTTTTAATGCAAGAGAGGATTTTGCTTGCTTTAGAAACCGCAGCTTGGCATTGCATGCCATTATTAAGCTTGTGATCTACCAGAACCCCCAGATCCTTCTCCACCATTGATTCCCCCAGTTGTAACCCTCCCCCCCAGCCCCCAGTATGTCTGATGCATGCATATTCTTAGCCCCCAAGTGCATAACCTTACATTTATCAACATAAAGGGTAATTTGCCACATAGTTGCCCAATTAAACAGTGCATTGAGGTTGGCTTGTAAATTGAAGACATCCTGTAAGGATGTTATTCCACCAGACAGCTTGGTGTCATCTGCAAAGGCTGAAATGGGATTTATAATCCCAGACCCTATATCGTTTATAAATATATTAAAAAGTAAGGGTCAAAACAACCCTAGACCATTCAGAGTAAGAATCATTGACCACTACTCTCTGAATACGATCTTTTAGCCAGTTTTTCATCCATTTACATACTGATTTTTCCAAGGACATTATCCCACTGCACAGCTTGGTGTCATCTGCAAAGACTGAAATGGTATTTTTAATCCCAGACCCTATATCGTTTATAAATATATTAAAATCTGCTAGAAGAAGTATTTATTTAGCTGGTACTTAAAACAACCAATCTGAGTTTAGCAGTCATTCTGTAGGGCATAAAATGAAGCTGGAAATTCATGCTTTTTTTAAAGAATCTGTACAAGTGGCTCTAATAAATCATAGGGGTTTAACGTAATAGCAGGTAATTTCCCGATAGTGGTCTGTAGAAATACAAGCTGTGAAAGGCATGTTTCAAGAAATTAGAGTTTAAATCTTGCCAATGGACAAGGCATGTGTAACAGGCATATCCAGATGAAAAAAAAAGCTGTACAGTCTAAAGCTAAAACAAATACGTAAATGAATTGTTGTATCATGTAGAAAAGTAAACATAAGGATTACTAAAAGTTCATACTTTGGTGTAACTGATTATTTCCTGGGAAACCAGTAACATCACAGTTACGTAAACCTTTAAAGTTCATGTAACATGCACTTCTCAGTAGTAGTAGTGGAATTTGGACTGTGCCAGTCCAGTTAAAACATTTACAGGGAACACCCTGTAGAATGGGGCTTTTCCAGTTAAATGTTACAAAGGGCAATCACTGTGAGGTGTGACGTATGGTCATGCCGATGATGTTGATGTACCAAAAACATTCACCTGAAAATTGCAATTATACAAAGCAACTAAAATAATAATAATATTAGTAGTAGTAGTAACTCCACTACTAGGAAAGTTCAGCACATTAGAGGCTTCAGAAGTACTCAACAACCATTATTTTACTTTGAGGGTACCTGTACTATGTTCATGTCTATTAGAAACAGAGTAAGTAGACTTATTGCTGGTGAATAAAAACTGGGCTAAATGAATCTGGAAACAATTGAGCAGGTTTCCCATTACAATAGGTTTCACCTATTATTTACTGGAATAATTAATCAAGTAACCTGGTTGATATGGGCAATCTCTACTTTTCCCCAGATGTTTACATTTATTAAACACTAGCTATACTTCTGGACTTATCACATGTTAAAGTGGCAGTGCATTGGTAAGCATTTCAAAGCATTGCACTAATGATATATGTGTTACACCTTTCATATACATTATTGTATATGTTATTTCTACAGGTATGGCATCAGTATTCTTCAAATGCCAGCAATGTCAACACTAATCAATAAAAAAAAAAGACTACTGAAATATCTATTACACTTATGGGCTACAACAGCAATGGCAACTAAAATATACAACATTCAAAAGAATAGTAGTATTGATTAAAAAAAATCAATACTATTAGTATTAATCATTTCAATATTTTCCTGATTCCAGATACATTAACAGTATTACCTTTTATAATAAAATTATTATTATTATACAGGATTTATATAGCGCCAACAGTTGGCTCAGTGCTTTACAATATAATATATTACCTTAATATAGTAATTCATTCTTTCAACTGAAGTAAATCTGGCTTCTGTTTCTGTCACTAAACGAACAGTATATTGGAAGAGCCCTGTAAGCTGAAAGATCAAAACACACAGTCACATGAAAAGTTCTGTATGTAGTAAGAGCAATGTAACAGTAGGTGCTCTAGTCTACAGCAGCCAGTTTGAACTTGTCTTTTATGATTCCAACTGCACTAAACAAAACTTTAGTTGCAGGGGGTTACTAAACCTTGGAAGTTAGTCTTTTCATACAATAATTTAAAGGGTAACTCCACTTTATTGGAAAATAAAATATAGTAAATATTAAAGCCTATATAATTACTACACAAGCTATATTGTAATTTATTGTTATTAAAAAGTACCTTTCCTTTTCAATCTGTAGCTGTAATTTTCTGCACAATTCAATGCTATTTGACAACGTGGAGGGGTTATGTACACCACTGGTATACAGCAGGGGTCTCCAAACTTTCTAAACAAAGGGCAAGTTTACTGTCTTACAGACTTTTCGGGGGGCTGGACTGTTGCCGTTGTGAGTAAAAAATGCTGTTGCTTCAGTGGGAGTAAACAATGCTTCATCATTCATATGAGTGAAAGGAATAGTGTGAAATGTTGGTATCTGTGGAAGGAATAGTACCCCATTGTTGGTGTCAGTGGAAGGAATTATGCCCCATCATTGGTGTCTGTGGGAGGAACAGTGTCAATTGTTGATATCAGGGGAAGAAATATTGTCCTATCATTGTGTTCATGGGAGGAATGGTGCCCCATTGTTGGTGTCAGACTGAGAATAGTGTTTTGGGGAAGCAATAGTGCCCCAGGGGCCAGATAAAGGCAGACAAAGGGCTACACCTGAATAACAGTAAAGGTCAGAGGCTCCAACAATAGTTAGTATCGCATGAATTACACAATAGTTTTGCCCAATAACCAAAAAAAACCTACAAAAAAGAAAATTGTGAATGGAGAATTCACAAAAAAAGTGGCTACAAAAAGGACAATGCGATACTGAATTAGTCTTGAAAAATATGCTTTATTAGCAAAATTGCACATGAAAAATACTCAAGTAAGAGCTGCGATCACCATCACCTCAATAAAGACATAACCCAAAACAACCTAAAACATAAAAATAAAACAAGGAGACATCATGGCAGGCCTGAAATGATGCTATGCTGCTGGATCAACAACATGCTAGTCTTTTGAATCAGCAGCAGAAGCACAACAGGGTGCACCACAGTGGTGGGAAATGGACATTCAAAAATGCAAACTGGCTGTATACCAATCATTATAATAGCACATATGTAACATCAAGAATGTGGACATAAGAGCCCTACTAGGTTACCAGCGAAGCTGAACTGGAATGACCATGTAACTAAGTATAAATCAAATATGGAGACAGAAGGAAATAGCCATATTAATATTCCTGTAAACAAATGCCATGTAACAACAATAGGAACACTGTCCTGGTGGTAGCTGAAGTAGGTTGGTAATCATCATAGTACAATGGGCATGATAAACAGGTCCTAAAGGACATGGATCAACACAATTGTGTAGAGTAATGGCCATAAACTTGTAATGAGTGTAGAAGTGGTGAACAGAAAGAAGTTCACAAGGCTGCCGCCGTGTAAGACTGTAAAAGCAGAGCCCTGCTTGTGTATACTCCAATATACTTAGGTGGTCTACCAGAAATCAATGGTAGTGTCACTCCCTGATGATGAGATGACAGTGAAAGTGATCAAGAATTCCTTGCTGCATGACCAGGGTGCAATGCACCGGCTCTTGGACGTAATGCACTGTCCCAATCCTGTAGTGAGGTAGTAACAGGAGAAAAGTCAATAAGGCTACAGCCAGACAGACATGGATATTAATTCCTGTCAATGATGTGACCTATGGTGTGAGAAGGATGTCACTCACCACCTTTACGGTCAGATACTGCCAGTATAGCATTCCTTCGATATCCAACTTACATGTCTGGCAGCCGCCAACTTCGGGAACTAAGGTAGTCAGCTTCGCTGTCAATCAGTGCTGTTGGTGATCAGTAGACGCCAAATGTGAGCACAATGCTCCGTATCCCGTGTCCGTATCCCACCCAAGATCGGGTGTGTGGCACCGATGTGCGTAGGCCGCCGTGATGTCACTGACGTATGACATCAACGCATTTCACTGATGGACGTATCTTACTCAGCTTCGTCAGGACCAATGAGCCCACAGGCCGCAGTTTGGAGACCACTGGTATACAGAATGCCTCCAAAATGTAATTTCCTGTTTGTGTCTCAAAAACTCTGCACAAGTCAGATTTTAGGCATCCTCTTCAACGAAAAATAATTTTTTGGTGAGGTACTCTCTAAGGGTTAATTACTTCTAAAGGGATGCAGACACTGCAACTTTTGTCATAAGAGCACTGTGCGTGCTCTAGCTGCTTATATTGAACCAGTCACTCTCATTCAGAATCATTCTGCAAAGGGCACTGTCAAACAAAGAGCAGGTTTCTTCTGAGCAGAAACAAGTAGGATTCAGCAATGTTAAAATCCCTGCAATGTACAATGGTCACCCAGAGGAGATAGTTTTTTTCTTAACAAAAGTGGAGTTATTCAGTAAACTAGACTAGACTGGAATGCACTAGACACAGCAAGAGGCAGATCACAATCTTCAGTGCAGTACCTGTACAGCATATGACATAGCTAGGCCTGCATAAGCTGGAGCTATTTTTCCATGCATGAGCACCACACATACTGCAGTTACAGTAATGACAGCAAGGCTGATCAGATCCAGGCGTACTGCTAGCCATCGCATAGCACAGCTAAAGAGAAAGTATGGAGATTGGTTCACATCCAGTAGTTTCTGATACCTGAAACAAGTAGAGAACAGCACATTGTATTAAAACCAACTGGCAACACAAAGCCCAAATTCAATATATATATATAAAGTATAATGGATAACAGTCACTTTTCAAAATCCATAAGTAGCACTACATTTATTTCACCCTTATGTGTTAGTCACTGTAGGAGAATTATAGCCATATACAGTACCTTACAAAAATACATAATTATCTGCATGTCATTCAGCAAGAGCATGGTCTTCATATCCACTTCCGAACTGAGCACCCCCAATGTACTGGTATGTCACTGCCTGCTTCCTTGTTTAGGGCATGTGCATGCGCTCCCCACACAACACCCGCTTTGATTGTACACAGGTGGAATCTGTCAGCAGGTCCCATCCAAGGATTCATGGCCAGGACCTGCTGATCGGTTGTCTCCAATCATAGACCTGAGCCCTGTGTTAACAATCAACACAGGGCTCTGTGTTAACAATCAACACAGGGCTCTGTACAGAGGGAACAATCTCTCTGTTTCTCACCCCAGGGATGAGAAACAAAGGGATGCCTTAGTAAAAGCAGCACATAACATTACACATTGTTAGGCACGCATTTAACCCCTTGATTGTCTTAGATGTTAACCACTTCCCAGCCAGTGTCATTAGTACAGTGACAGTCTATAGTATTATCATTGAACACTGTATTAGTTGCCCGCCGTACTATCGCAGTCCCATTTTATATTGCTGATCACCGCTATTAGTAGTATAAAAAAATAAATAAATAAAAATTCTAATATATACCACATTCACATAAACCAATCAATATACACTTTTTAGGAATTTTTTTTCTCACCAAAGACATGTAGCAGAATACATTTTGGCCTAGATTTATGAAGAAATTTGATTTTTGAAATCTTTTTATTGGATATGTGTTATAGCAGAAAGTGGGGTTTTTTTTCAAAATTTTCTGTCTTTTTTTGTTTATATCGCAAAAAATAAAAAACACAGTGGTGATCAAATACCACCAAAAGACAGCTTGATTTATGTGAAAAAACTTATAAAAATTTTGTTTGAGTACAGTGTTGCATGACCATGCAATTACCAATTAAATTAGCTCAGAGCATAGGAAAAAATGGCCTAGTCATGAAGAGAGTAAAATCTTCTGGAGCTCAAGAGCATATTCAACTCAGTATAGGGCTCCTCAAAAAAACAAGGGTGCAGCAACTTAGTGCACTGTACAAGCAGTGGTTTAAAACACCCTAAAATGAAATGTTTTCTCTAAAGTGTAGAGATACTTTATAAACATCAGAAACATTTTTTTTCTGTATGATAGGGGCACCACAAAGTACTGTAGTGTGAGCTATGCACCCACCTTACTTTGTATCATTGATTGGATGGTGATCACTATGTAGTATCTAAACAAAGGAAGTAACCAGATGCCCCAAAAATTAAAACCATGAATTAGTATTAACTTATATAATATGGCTTTTTAAACCTACTTAAGAATGCAGTCACTTGATTTACTGAAGGCTTGGATGGTTGTTATTCCTTGTAGTGTTGATGTAATATGAGATATAAATGGAGACTGGCTTATATTATCCAAACGTTTAAGTTCACGAATCAGCACTCTGTAAAATAAAGGATAATACTGACACACACAGTCTTAGCGAACAAGGAGATACTTGTGTACACAACAGCTTGTGACTTCACATTTGGGTGCCCACTGCATGCACAAATAGCACTGCCGCTTGTGAATGGTCCCATAGTCTTCTGGGACCTGTCAAGTGTCCCAGAAGACTAAGGGGAGAGATGGGGGAAGACAACTTCCACTTCTGATAGCCTATGCGATTGCAGCGGAAGTGGGAGCGGGTACCTGTCAAAATCAGGTCCCTGCTCCCCCCTCTCTCATCAAAGGTGCCAATTCCTCATAGGGAGCGGGGGACCAGTAATTAAAGAGGAACTTGCTTGTTATACTCACTGTGGAACCTAAGGGGTTAATCCTCTGCATTGTGTAAAAAGGCCATTTGATCCTGTTTTCTCTGCCCCTCCTCTTGTTCAGATGTCCACTTGATAGGACAGACTGAACCCGTAGCCACATGCACACGCTCAGTTTAGTGTGTATTGCTAGAGAGGTTTTTTTTTCTTGGGAGAGTGCATGTGATCAGCACAGGGCCAATCAGCACTGTCCAGACAAAGGGTCAGGGGTTTTGCATCCTTCTAGAGCAGAAAGAGAACGCCTCCTACAAGCTTTACCCAGTGCTCTGCTGAAGTCACAAGACTGCTCTAACTGCTGATGAGAAAAGATATTTAGCAGTTTACATTCACTAAAATAATTGCATTTCCATGTTGTGTGTACTGTGAGAGACCAGATATAGTGAATGCAGGGTCCTGGGTTTAGTAATACCTTAACTATTGTGTTTCTGAATTGGAAGCATTTCTCCTCTTTTTCACAGTCTTATACTGACCAATAAAATCTACACATTGATGAGAAAATGTACAATATATGGCCAACATTTCTGGACACCTGACTATCACATTAATATGAACTTGGAGATCCCATTCCAAAACCAAGGAAATTAATATTGAAGTAGTCTCCTTTGCAGTTAACAGCCTACACTCTCTTTTCACAAATTTGTGCAGTCTTTCACTCGAAACACTGTGCTGGCCACTCAAGTTCATGCTAGAGCATGTCTTCATTGAGTTGGCTTTGTGCACAAGAGCATGGTCCTGCTGCAACAGAAAATTATCTTCCCCAAACTGTTGGAAGTTTATACAATAGTTTAAATGTCTTTGTATTTTGTAGCATTAACAGAACCCTTCACTAGAAACACCTAAACTCAATAATTTTGAGGGTTGTCCACATACTTTTGGTAATATAGGTAGGGGTAATGGTCAGGTGTCTACTAATTTTGGCCATATAGTGGGGTTTATTGACTAAATCCGGTTCACTCAGAATCTTGTGCACTGCAAAGAAACCAATCAGCTTCCAGGTTTTATTGCTAAAGCTTAATTGAACAAGCTGAGGTTAGAAGCTGATTGGCTGCCATGCACAGCTGCACCAGATTCTGAGTGAACCAGCTTTAGTAAATAAACCCCATGTATATAGCTATATAACACAGCAAATGTAATATGCTGTCTGGTTCAGTTACTTTATCAATGCCACATAAATTCACTGCCCCAACAGATTTGTAACTTACCTTGAAGCACGGTTCACCAAATAGAAGATCACACTTAAAGGTACCACAGATAAGAGAAAGAATGGAAATACTGAGCTGATTACACCAAGGCAGAAGAAAACAAGGATCATATTCTGAATAAGCTGTTCCATTTGGTTTGGAAGTCGCACGTCAACTGAAACACAGAACATTCATCAAAATAAAACACAAAAGCAATGAATATGAGTTTTTTTTTCTGAATGTTGCTTTCTAATATTGAATAGGAAACACTACATATAATAGCCAATGACACTGAACTCACTGTTTTACAATGAACCAATTGTAATCATATGACCACAAACTTAAAGACACCCTGTAAACAGACCATTCATTTTAACAACAATCTTTCCTGAAGATTATATGGTATATGTATTTAACGTATTTTATGTATGTTATGTACTTGTAAAGCCTTCCTTCTGTTGACATCCAGATGTCTGACCCTGTCTGCCGCCATCTTGAATATGATGTCAGCAGCTACAGTAGACTCAGAGATGACTCAAGTGACATTCTGTAGTATTGCCTTTTGCTCCATCCAAGGCAACCACATAAAAGATTATGTAGAGAGGTGAAGGAAGGATCTGGGTCAGCACAGAGAGTAATTAGGCACTCCCAGAAGAAGAGAGGACTATGACATGCAAGCAGAGAGGGGGGTCCGTGCTGGAGAATTTTTCAAGCAAATTCAAAGTCACGTTGCAAACGAATAATATATTATTTATGCAAAGGAAAACACTAGCAAGTGTTTAAAAATAGTTAATTTTTCTATGCTTTTACCTGTAGTTTTTTTAGGTTGGTGACAGATTCTCTTTAAGTACAAATATGAAAACTGCATTTTATAGATATTCTCAATTTAATACATTATTAGAAGCTAATTTTAACTTTCTCTCCAGATGGTGCTTTCTCCCAGTGTGACTATTTATAATCTTCCTAGAGACCACTTCTATATGCTTCTGTTCATGTGGATACCAAGGAACTTTGTTCCATTTATGGTGACAAGGCCCATGACTGAATAAATTCAGAATGAAACTATATTCCCTCATTTACACAGCAACTAATATAAAATGTTAGAAAGAGCTGTGCAATGATCTACAGAATGAATTATTCCCAGGGATCTAAAAGCACTTACAAACTTACATTTTCCTTACCTTCTTATTAGCAATCATTTCAATGCAAGCTCATGGAAAACTCAGAAAATCCATTTTATTTATTTATTCATTTTATTTATTTCAGGTACTTATATAGCGCTGTCCATTTACGCAGCGCTTTACATATATATATTGTACATTCACATCAGTCCCTAACCCTCAAGGGGTGTACAATCTAAGGTTGACTTAATTAGGACTAAACCCTAATGGACATTAACTCATGAGAAAAATGGCAAGCATGTTAAAAAGATTAGCAAGAACAGTTTGAGAAGACATGGGGTGCATGGATCAAGTACTTTGAAACACAAGGGTCCAACATAAGGGTCTAAGAGAGTACCTCATTCAGCTCCTAGAAGATCTTAGAAAATCTCAAACCAACAACTTGGCTAAATGTGTATATATCTGGGGTATCCAAAGCATACCAAGGAGCCTAACCTCTTTCAAATCCCTTTCCAATATACCAAAAATAAAGAAGAAGAAAAGAATATACCAGAGGAAGACAACATTAAAACAGCACAGTGGCTAAGTGGTTAGAATTTCAACCTAGCAGCACTAGGGTTATTGGTTTGAATCCCAACCACGGCACCGACTTCACAGAGTTTTCATGTTCTCCCTGTGCCTGCGTTGGTTTGCTCCCACACTCCAAGACATGCTAATAGGTTAATTGGCCCTAGTATGTGTATGTATGAATGTGAGTTAGGGTACTTAGACTGTAAGCTACTTGAAGGCAGGGACTGATGTGAATGTACAATATATAGTAGGGCAAAAAAGTATTTAGTCAGCCACCAATTGTGCAAGTTCTCCCACTTAAAAAGATGAGAGAGGCCTGTAATCGGCATCATAGGTAGACCTCAACTATGAGAGACAAAATGAGAAAAAAAAATCCAGACAATCACATTGGCAGATTTGGAAAGAATTTATTTGCAAATTATGGTGGAAAATAAGTATTTGGTCACCTAAAAACAAGCAAGATTTCTGTCTCTCACAGACCTGTACCTTCTTCTTTAAGAGGCTCCTCTGTCCTGCATTCATTACCTGTATCAATGGCACCTGCTTGAACTTGTTATCAGTATAAAAGACACCTGTCCACAACCTCAAACAGTCACACTCCAAACTCCACTATGGTGAAGACCAAAGAGCTATCGAAGGACACCAGAAACAAAATTGTGGACCTGCACCAGGCTGGGAAGACAGTACATGTCCGGGCCCATCTGAAGTTTGCTAGAGAGCATTTGGATGATCCAGAAGAGGATTGGAAGAATGTGATATGGTCAGATGAAACCAAAATAGAACTGTTTGGTAGAAACACAACTCGTCGTGTTTGGAGGAGAGAGAATGCTGAGTTGCATCCAAAGAACACCATACCTACTGTGAAGCATGGGGGTGGCAACATCATGCTTTGGGGCTCTTTCTCCGCAAAGGGACCAGGACGACTGATCCATGTACAGGACAGAATGAATGGGGCCATGTATCGTGAGATTTTGAGTGCAAACCTCCTTCCATCAGCAAGGGCATTGAAGATGAAACGTGGCTGGGTCTTTCAACATGACAATGATCCCAAACATACCGCCCGGGCAACGAAGGAGTGGCTTTGTAAGAAGCATTTCAAGGTCCTGGAGTGGCCTAGCCAGTCTCCAGATCTCAACCCCATAGAAAACCTTTGGAGGGAGTTGAAAGTCCGTGTTGCCCAGCAACAGCCCCAAAACATCACTGCTCTAGAGGAGATCTGCATGGAGGAATGGGCCAACATACCAGCAACAGTGTGTGCCAACCTTGTGAAGACTTACAGGAAACGTTTGACCTCTGTCATTGCCAACAAAGGATATATAACAAAGTATTGAGGTGAACTTTTGATATTGACCAAATACTTACTTTCCACCATAATTTGCAAATAAATTCTTTCCAAATCAGCCAATGTGATTGTCTGGATTTTTTTCTCATGTTGTCTCTCATAGTTGAGGTCTACCTATGATGCCAATTACAGGCCTCTCTCATCTTTTTAAGTGGGAGAACTTGCACAATTGGTGGCTGACTAAATACTTTTTTGCCCCACTGTATGTGTAAATTGATGGTGCTATATCAGTACCTGTAATAAGTAAATTTAAACAAAGTATACTAAAAAAAAAAAAATCTCAAGGCTATGTACTAATAAGGTATTATTTTATTTAAAATTTGGACAATTAGACATGAATAGTTTGAACATATGTTCAGAACAGGTGATTATATGAATAATAAAGAGGTTGTAAAGACACAAGGTTTTTTACCTTCATGCATTCTAGGAAAGAGAGGGGGCAGGGCCAAGCCATGGCTCTGTGTGTGAATGGACATGCAGAGCAGCAGCTCAGGAGCGAGCCTGCTTGGGTGCCACCATAGCAAGCTGCTTGCTCTAGGGGCACTCATCAGGAGGGAAGGGCCAGGAGTGCTTGCAGGGAACCAGAGAAGAGGAGGATCGGGGCTGCTCTTTGCAAAACCACTGCAGTGAGCAGGTAAGATTGACATGTTTTTTTTTTTATTATTATTTCACTTTAATCAATTTGCTCTGTAGCATATTAGCAAATATCTCTTATTATTGTAAATTATAGTTATGTATACATCAGTAGTCCTCATTGCAATGAGATAATGTTTACATAGTTACATAGTTAAATAGTTAGTCTGGCTGAAGAAATACAAAAGCCCATCCAGTTCAACCATAAAAAAAACAAAAACAAAAAAAGTTATAATTCTATACCCACAGTTGTTCCAGAGGAAGGCATAAAACCCAGCAAAGCATGATACAATTTGCTCATGCAGGGGAAAAACTTCTTTCCTGATCCCCCAAGAGGCAATCGGAATACTCCCTGGGTCAACTTTACCTACTTTACATATTAGAGGAACCCTCTTCCCGTGTTATGTTAGGACTAGTCTGGTCAAATTTTAGGAATTTATGTATTAATAAAAATATTTGCTTTTTACCTAATAGTGGTTGTAAACCCTCACATATACCCAGTAAAGTGACTGGCCTCAGGTGATATGCAGAGATTAAACAAATCCCCCTTCATAAATTGCACCTGTTTATCTGCAGCCTTCTCTTCTCTACATTCAAAGTCCAGAATTTATAAAGCTTGTTTGAGAGTTCAGAATAAAGGGGGTGGAGACCTAAAATTACCCTCTGCGGAGCTCACTGAAGAGAGCTGATTGGAGGGAAGAGACACATCCCCCTTCACACAGCACACAAGAACAAAGCTGAAGCTGTCAATCAATCTGGAGGTCACTGCACTGTCATCATGTTTCTCTTGGTGTCAGGAAAGCTTGTCAGAAGGGAATCATGCTGACAGCAGAGGAGTGAAGCAGCAGACAGAAATGACACTTAGTGCTTTGGATAGAGACAAGTATACACTATAGAGAGATATGTTTTGTTCATATTTCATGTCTGAGGTTTACTACAAATTTAATATCATTTATGTGACTTTATTTTTCACCTAAATATCAATATTTCTTTTGAATCATATAATAACCTTTCCTATATTTCTCATTTTGCATTTTTCATGTTATTAACGCAAAGGAATGTATTTCCCTGATCAAAACTGATGGCAGCTAAACTATTACTATATATAAAAATATAACCAATTGAATTTGATAATATGATAAACCATTGCTATAAGACAGATAATTTAAAACAGATGATGTGTGCTGTAACTCTCCCCTGTCATGTTGACTTAAAGTGTATGTCAGGACCAAATTTAAAAAATGCAGTAGATTTTGCAAAACAGTTATATTCCCCCTCAATTTCATCTCCTTAAAGTTCCTTAAAGTACAGAAAAATACCTATTGATCTGACAGAAATTCACTCTGCTCCTAATTCCCGCTTGTGAAATGACACTACATGCCTTTTTGTGGACTTAAATTGCAAAACTTGCTGTCAGCCCTGCCCAGCTTTCTGTTAATAAACTGCTGAATGCTTACCATTCTTGTAATCTCTACAGTCTAAGGAATAATTGTTCTGTAGAGCAAGAAAAGAACTGGAAGAACTCCTTACGATAACACAGGAAGTATGGAAAGGACACAAAACAGCTTTGAATTTCAATCTATGGGAAGCAGCAGAACAAATCAAATGCAGCAATGATAATTATAGTAAAGCAGCAGTGGTGTAGCAGCGATCCAGAGCTTAGTGCTGCTGGCTGTCACAGACAAAGCCGGCACGGTGCAATGGAATCGGCTAACACTCACTGAGGAGCTGCAGGGGAACCGCTTTTTCAAGCCTGGTTTGTCTCCAGCACTTATATACCACCCACTGTTAGTCCAGGCTTGAGAAAAGGACAGATCACCCAGAAACGCGTTGCTCAGTCACACAGTGCGCTCAGGTGTGTTCCATGCTGTTTCCCTGCAGCTTCTCTGTTAGCATTCCAGTGTCTGCTTTGTCTGTGACAGTCAGCTGGCGCTAATCATTGGATCACTGCTATACCACCACCACTTTACTATCACTATCACTGCTATATTTGCTTTGTTCTGCTACCCTATTGAAGCTGTGTTAAAAGGAGTGCTACATGTTGCTATGCCGATATGCCGTTATATTCAGTTTGAAGTGTAAGTGGATGTATTTTATTGTTCATTAAACTGGTATCACTGACACCCTCCTGTGCTTGTGTTTCCATTTTCTTGTGTACATTTCACTAAGAACCTATTAAAAAAGTGAAAGTAAAATAAAATTGCTTCAAGGGAACCTGTGTGGATGGAGATATTGAAGCTGATATTGCTATTAACACCAAGTTACAAAGGGGTTGTACAATTATTGTATATATTAAGTTGCATAGTTAGTCAGGTTGACAAAAGACACAAGTCCATGTAGTTCAACCAAATAGCATATCTGTTTTTAATAAAAGTGGAGTCGCCTTTAAAGTAAAACTGAACAATTTCTGTTGATGTACTTACCTTCATCCACATCCTTGGTGAAACGGTTTAGGATACGACCAAGGGGAGTTGTATCAAACAGCTTCACAGGGCTACAGAGGACTTTTTGAAACAAAAGGTCATGGAGTTTTGTTGAAGCTTTCAGTGAACTCTGATAAATAAAGAAACAATATGTATACAGTATATCATTATATAAGATTGTATTCCTGTTTAAAATGTGAAATGCTTCCAGTCATGTGCATTACTGTGACCAAATATTAACTAGAAATATTAAATAATACATCTGCAGCAGGGGCGGACTGACCATTTGGAAACTCGGGCACTGCCCGAGGTCAGTAGGGGGCCCCATGAGATGCCCCTGGTACCTTTTTCATAGGCTTTTTTGAGTTTGGGCAAGGACACAGGGGCCCCATGATCCCCTTATGCCTGGGGGCCCCATGAGTTGTCAATCCGCCCCTGATCTGCAGTCATTAACAGCATAGTCTGATTCAAGTACTGGCTGGAAATCCATAAGAAAAAATTATGTCATATTCACAACTATTACCTTATACTTCTGTATACTGTGAATCTGCTCACTCATAATATGTAACTGCAACAGTTATTTTCTTTTTATATGTCAATATTCAATAAAAATGTATTGAAAAAAAAATGATGTCAAATATACTGTAGATCGTAATATTAGGAGTAGCTACGTGTGCATAGTGGCTGAAAATCAGTGAATATGCTTTCAGTCAGGGGCGGACTGACCATTTGGAAACTCGGGCACTGCCCGAGGGCCCGGGGTCAGTAGGAGGCCCCATGAGATGCCTCTGCTACCTTTTTCATAGGCTTTTTTGAGTTTGGGCAAGGACACAGGGGCCCCATGATCCCCTATTACCCGGGGGCCCCTTGAGTTGTCAGTCTGCCCCTGCTTTCAGTCAATCTAACTGATCTAGGCCATGTTAACAGCAATAGAGTGTTACAGTTGGTTTGAACATATAGTGGAAGTAAACTGAAAAAAAATAAAATAAAAACCTGCTACAAAGTTGAATATTTTGCCTGCCAAAAAAACCTGCTTCTTGCTTATAACAGTTTTCTATTTAGTATACATGTGCAGTGCATTGCAGTGTACACATAAGCTCATTCCTGGTATCTGTAAGATGCCAGGAATACAGTCAGGTTCCCAGGGTGATATAACTTCAGTGCGCATGTGCCAAGGTTACATCATCCGTGGCTTTCCAATGGCCAAGATATCAGTGGTGGCAATGCAATGACAAGTGCATTCGCAGATGTTGTCTAAGTGGTACCTTGATCCTCACCAGAGCACACTGTGACCCCAGGCTACCTTGCTGCAAGATGACACCGGGTTGCATTCTGCAGGATCCCCCAACCAAAGGTCACAGGAACAGAGTGACTACAATGTGGAGGATAGCAATACTGCAAGACGGTAGGGTTCAGGTGGAGGTTGAGACAGGCAGCAAGCAAGACACGTCATTGTCCTAGTAGAAATCAAGGTTGATGGCTGGCACAAGAGCAGTCAGTTTCAAGGCAGAAGTCGAGGCAAGAGACAGGCAAGAGAGAAACAGGAATGCACCAGCAATGGAGACACAAGATAAGAGCAGAGCCAGGCAATCTGGGTAAGTAATAAGCAAATCAGAACAATGGTACTCTCATGATCAAGGAAGCTGGCAAGACGTCACTGACACCATAAGGGAAGCAGTCTAAATATCCTCCTTGGCCTGTGCATACAACCAGTCTTAGGGATGTATTGTAATGCATGTTGATGCACACACCCTGATTTATGTTAATGCACTCTTACCAAAATGGGTATGCCTATGTGTGCAACAGTCCATCACCATAAGCCCTTGCTTTCACATGCTTGTGACATGCTGAACATGGACAGGATGGACCAAGCCCCTGGTTGTACAGAAGCAGATTTTAGTGATACTGTAACAGTATGATTATTATATGAATGATCCTCCCACCCTTCAAACACTATAGATATTTTAGTAAATTTCCAAGCTGGGCTCAATTTCTATTTATAGCAAATATTTTGAAGGGTTGAGGACAGATATTTAAAAGACTTAGGGTTTGCTTGAGAGAGTCATTTAAAAAAACATTAATAGTTTTTTCTTGCTAAATCTTTGCCTAGACGGGCATGGTATTGTGCCCCTCGCAAGCAGAGACACACCATGGGTTTCTGTCAGGTCCCAGGTAGAGATACCGTGGTGTGTCTGCGCATGCACAAGGTCTCACAAACTGTTTCCTGGGATGTGTGGCATATGTTGGAGATACAACAGCATGTACTATATAGTATTGTGTGTTAATATCACTTGACCAGTAGATGGCACTGTACAGTAAGGTTACTAGTTGTGCATATGTGTAAAACTTGTTGGTTCTCCTTCTCCCTCTCTTCAAAACCCAAGATGTCTGCTGAAATGTGTTCTGTAGGTTTGCAACTTAAGCCACACAAGTAAAACAGAGTTCTGCCTCATCACAAGCTACCAGTGTCTTCTCTAACACATAACCAACAGCATAGACATCCCAGGAGGCAGTTTGTGACTTTGCGCATGCACAGATATGCACAGACCTGGCAGAGACCCCTGTGGCATGTCTACGCATTTACAGTAGATCTGGCGCTAGCACAGACACACCATGGGGGTCTCTGCTAGTTCCTAGTGGCTAGATTACCATTAATAATGGTGGCGAGAATAGAACAGCAAAAGAGAGAACTTTGACTTTATACAAGACAACCCAGGACTCAATGCTCTAGTAAGTAGGTTTATATTTTATTGTGAGGCAGGAGTTTTCTCTTTTTATGGTGAGGTTCCTCATTAACTATATATTAAAATATATCTGCTACTACTCTGTAGTTTTATGTATTGATTCATCCTGACACGGTAATTGAACTAAACGCTAAAAAGGTTTATTTATTAAAAATGTGCAACCATGAATCTTCTAATTCTGGTTTGCAGGTACTGTGGTTGGATTATTCTCCGAATCCTTGAGTAGATTAGCAAATAAGCCACCTGTGGGGATGCCTATTTACTAAGTGCTAGCCATCAGCAGCACCACTTTAGCTAGAGAGTTTTGCTATTGCTCAGGAAAAGCCACTAGGTCATATCAGGAAAGAGAAGCACATCTTGCTCTTCAATACCAGCATCTGCGAATTAACAAACGTGCTCAGTAGAATTACAGACAGTGAATTGAGGTGGAAGGGGAACATGAGAAAGGTAAGTACAGCATGCATATCTGCCTATTATAATGTGCGCTTGTTCCTTTACAAAATAAAGTCGAGTTCTTTTTCAGCCAAATTTTTTTGATGTTGTTAAGTAAGACACTGATATAAGCAATTACTGAACTGTCTTTCCAAGGACATCCAGGAGTCTATGACCCCGTCACACTACTGGACTGCTTAGCATGGAAAATAGTGGATTCTACATCTAGTCAATTTTTAGAACTAAGTAACTCATTTGTCTGTAACATATAGTGTAATGTATCATCATGTTGTAGCAGTTTCAGTTGAAATGCCATCTGTCAAGTGACAGCTGTGACACATTACTAAATTCAGGAGAAAGTAATCCCAGTTTAACTAACTAGGTTAAGCAGAATGTAGTTGGACCTTACCTTTACAAAGACATATCCTCGGAGAAATCTCAGCAGGAGAACAGCCACCATAGACAGAGCATAGATGTGAATATAGAAGTACAGGTCAGGGTTGTCCTTCATGTTGCCCCTGGACAACGTTATATTGTGTGTTGCAACTGTAATATTCTAGGTGTAACAGACAGCGAGATTAGGAGAAATTTAGTATATCATTTAAACTGTATGGGCTATTTTTACATAGATGCATAGGAAACATTTTGGGTTATACCTTATGCACTTTGCATCTAGGGGTCATGCCTTAAAGTGGTTGTAAACCCTTATATATACACAATGAAGTGACTAGCCTCAGGCGATACACAGAGATGAAACAAATCATCCTACCTAAGTTGTACCTGTCTATCTGCAGTCTTCTCTTCTCTAAATCCATTCAAAGTACTGAATTAGTAGCTTGTCAGGGAGTTCAGAAAAAAAAGGGAGCTGGAATTACACACTGCAGAGCTCAGTGAGGAGAGTTCTCAGAGCTGATTGGAGGGAAGAGACAACCCTCCCTTCATACAGCACACAGAAACAGAGCTGAGGCAGTCAAACTGTTGGAGTTCCCTCCCCCATCACCATTTTTCTTTTGGTGTCATGAAAACTTGTCAGAGGTGATTCACACTGATAGCAGAGGAATGAGGCAGCAGACAGAAATGACACTTAGTACTTTTTATTGAGACAAGCACACACTATAGAAGGATATGCTTCGTTCATATTTCATGTCTAAGATTTAGAACCAAATTAAAAAGGAACCATGGGTAAATACTTGGCTGTTTCTTATATCAGTGATGTCAGAAATTTGAACAGTGAGATTTGCCACATAGGAACATAAGATGTCACTGAATAGTGATGGGGATATCTAGCCAATGGCATTGCACAGGGATATATAAATCTAAGAAGAACGCAACTTGATCCAATGTTTTTTTATGTCCTATAACAATAAAATATAAAAAACTTTCCAAGGTGAAAACTTTTTATAAGAACTAATAGAAATAAGTGGGCGATGTAACCCAGAAGATAAATATTAGGGTTGTGGAATTGAAATATGTAGGCCAACTGAATTTCCTGAATTTTAGTAAACTGTGTCATAGCTTACACTTTATAGAGCATCATTTCATGGTATGGACCTGAAAGTGAATAGTAGTTTGCTAAGTGAAAATTTACTTACCAAGGAGTTTATACTAATTCACAGTTCTATGCTATTATTCATTATTTTTTAGACATTTTCAATTCAGTTATGGTCTATAATAGTCTATAAAATCTATACTGAATACAGATTTATTCAATGAAAGAATTAGAAAGAGTTTGTGTATTCACTAGATGCAAACACACTGGTAGTGATTTCTTAGGCATATTTTCTAAAGCATAGGGAGGTTTTTTAACTCAACTGAGGTAGTTCTGAACTGTCAGCACAGGGACTAACACATGAATACGTTACAAATATTTATTAAATCCATGGGCTAAGGGCCAATCGTATGTAAATTAATAATGTTTTTTCCAGCTTCCTCTTTACAAACATGTATAATGTAGTAAGGATATTGCTAGATATTTCTCCATCCTTTACTGAATGTCTTCTATACACATTGTAAAATATGCCCCTTACCCCACTGCCTTGTTTAATCCAATAACTCAGCCACCAGTTACTGAATGCTGCACTTCCTGTGGTTAATACAAAGAGAATGGCATTGATGGTGACTACCAACACTCCTCCAGCTGCCGTGATGTACACTCCATAAACTGCCCAAGACACAGAACCATCACCTTTTTCTTCCGCCTGCATAAGGCCTGTAAAAAATGTGACCATAAAAAAAGGATTAAAACAAACAGAACAAAAAATGAGAACATCATTAGATCCACTATAAACTGTATTTTGTGTTGGCTAACCTTACACACATCCTGGCATACAACAGTAGGATGGTAAAGGAGCAATGGAGATTTAGATGCATGGAATTTTATTAGTTGCAAAGCATTGTGATAATAATGGATTTTCAAAGTTCTATTTTGGTAGGGTGCATTCACACTGGACATGGTTGAACTTAATCCAGATTCAACTGTCCCCCTTCCCCACTGGTCTTCACTTACACTGTATTTTAAAATAAGTGTTTCTGGGCTTCACCTACGTCATTCAGACCACAGTGATCCCTTCATCTGTGGTTAGTGATCTATGGAGAGTTTCCCTCACACTGAAGTGAACTGTTTTGGACCATAAGTAAACTGTTCTCAGGACCACCTCCTGCAAGTGGTCCTGGGCATAGTTCAGAGCACTCACACTACATGACCTGAACCAAGAGGGTGAACCATGCTCAAGTACAAATAAATCTGCCAGTATGAGTGCACCCTGAGTGCCTTACCATAGACTAATTAAGGATCCATGTACAAGGGGTGCATCTCCATGTAACAATATACTTTGAATATAGTGTAGGATGGTTTATTGTTTTCTGCTTTATATCTACATAGAGCACTGCAGACGTCTAACTCTAACTTCTTTTTTAGTACAGAGTTTTAAGCTGGCTAAGCCACAAAGAGAAAAGGAAACACATGTCTAGCAACAGTATTTTAAAGTGTTACTAAACCCAGGACCCTGCATTCACTATATCTGGTCTCCCACAGTATATCGAACATGGAAATTCAATTATTTTAGTAAAATATAAACTGCTGAGTACGTTTATTTATCAACATGGGCAGCACAGTGGCTAAATGGTTAGCACTTCCGCCTGGCAGTTCTAGGGTCGTTGGTTCGAATCCCAGCCACGGCACCACCTGCCTGGAGTTTGCATGTTCTCCCTGTGCCTGCGTGGGTTTTCTCCGGTTTCCTCCCACACTCCAAAGACATGCTGGTAGGTTAATTGGCTCCTGTCTAAATTGGCCCTAATATGTGTATGTATGAATATAACTAAGGGACCTTAGATTGTACGCCCCTTGAGGGTTAGGGACTGATGTGAATGCACAATATATATGTGTAAAGCGCTGCATAAATTGACGGCGCTATATAAGTACCTGAAATAATAAATAAATAAACAGTGAATAGCTGTCTTGTGACTTCTATCAGTGTACAGGTGAGTGCTGGATACAGCTTGTAGGAAAAGTTTTCGTTCTCCCCTGATTGTCCTATGAGGCTATAGGACCCCTGACCCTCTGTCTGGACAGCATTGATTGGCCCTGTGCTGATCACATGCACTCTCCCAAGAAAAAAAAAAAAAACACCTCTGTAGCAATACACACCAAGCTGAGCATGTGCAGCTTGCTCCCAAGGCTCTGTTTGATCAGCAGATGGATTGGGGACTGTGGAAGAAGGGGAGAATCAGAGAAGACAGGATCAAAACATCCTTTTCACACAATGAGGATTAACCCCTTAGGTTCCACAGTGAGTATAACAAGTATGCTTTACTATATATACAGACTGATTTTACTGTTGTGGGTTTAGCAACACTTTAAAATCTAAACGGAGATTATGGCGTACCCTGGTTCTCCTCTTCATTGTTATGTCGGTCAGTTAATTCTTTTTCTTTTAAAGGTAATTTTGCGTCATCATCATTTTGGTCAACATTTTTATCTCCTTTGAGAAGACCTGAAGACCTCTCAGGACCTGAGCAGTCAAAAGACTTAGTGCCTGCCCCCTCTACTGTGATCACAGTATTATGTAGTTTTAATCCTTCATCTCTTCTGTAGAGTTCATTCCCAAATGCATCCACCTTCAGAAGTCTCATTTCTGCATGGTCTATGGCCTCCACGTTATTCCTCAAATCTGTAAAAGAAGGAGTTACCCAGCTGTGCATTGGTCAACACATTAGCAAAGCATGAGGTACAAAGCCTTGTGTTTTGTTGTATCAGTTAAAAAAAAGTCTGACGCACAGACGGTGCAATTTAACTCGTATTGCCAAAATCACGTTAATGCACAATAAGAGGATTTCTATTCTTTTCCAAGGGGCCCTTCACACCTGTGTGTTGTGCTATTGTGCATGTTTGTCCCCATAGACTTCAATGGCAGTCAACAGAAAAAAACTCAATAGGCATTTTATTTTATTTTAGCACATGACCACAAGCTTCACCCTAAGCAATTTCTGCTTTGTTTTGGCCAAACCAGAAAACACATCAAAAAGCAGGAAAGGCCACAACATATGGAACTTAGTTCTGCTTCAACCAACCAATTGAGGCAGAGAAAGAAAATATAAGAAATTATCAGCTGATAACTGAGGTTTATGAGTTGCTACTGACTTTCCAGTCATTTATGCTCTTGGATATTGTTGATTTGGGTGTAAGATGAGTATTCAAGGGGGAATCACAGTCTGAGTTCTGCAGTGCAGGAGATTGCAGGAGGCTAATATCAAGTTACAGTAGACATAGAAAAATATATCTGATGCTATGTTAGGCACATGCATGCAACATAAGGTGAAAATCTAAATCTTTCAGATATTTATTACCTCTCACAGAGTCTACGGAACTCCCCCTGACAATGCCATCTTTGTTAATGCATCATCAAGTGTCGCCATCTACTTACTGGACTAAAATGTTGGCTCAGATATGACACAATCATGTAAATCCTTGTGCCTGTTCAGTTCTTGACTGTGTTTACAAATGTCTGACACTGATCAACCTCTTGTCTTGTGATCAAAAAAGGTTAATTTACTCATTTTTTACTTTACAGGGGAAGTTGCATTTTACAAGGAAGGTGGTGATATTTCACTTTGCAAAAAATTCCCAATTATGTGCAAGGAAAATAAAAAAAAACAGCAGTTTTGCTTGCAAATGATTGGATAATGAAAGTCAGCAGAGCTTCAACTCATTCATTATGATCTGGGGAAAAGTGTAACTTCCATTGCAAAGTTAACAGTCTTATTGCCTTTTATAAACCCCACAATGTACAGTCAAGGTGATAACTTGGGGCAGAGGAGACTGAGGAAATGCTACCTGCTGCCTGCAGCATATTGAAGGTGGGGAGTAAAGTCACTGACTGAAGCTCATGGATGGCTTTTTTATGATGAAAGGTGGAGCTTTTTAGAAAAATGACACTCTTGCTGAATACAGTGAGATGTCAGGAATTTATTCATACAGATTTGTAATGATATTGAAAGGTCCACCTTAAATTGGGGTACTTATACTAATTGCTTTAAAAGATACACTTACTGAAATTGTAATTCTCCTAGCATGTAATGGTGTTTTGTTTAATCTGCTTAGAGTTCAGCTTTAATGTCACCCCAGCTTGTATATTCTCCATAAACTGTCACTGCAAGCTCTGAACGACTCCAACTAATAGCAATTACAAAATAATGCAAATTAAAATTAGCTTCATTCCCAATTACCTGTATCTGTATTTCTTTGCATATTGTTGTCCTGCTTTTCTGTGGAACAATGCTCATTGCTCTTAATGACATTCTGTTAAGATAAAAAGAAAAAAAGATTATGTCCATTTTTTTACTAAATACAAGAATATGTTTATATATTGTAAAATAACAAGAAACACGTTACTTGATTTTTATTATTGTCAGACAGGCTGTAAGGTCATCCTATATCCTGCCTGGCTTCAGTGCTGATTAGACACTAAAAAGAAGGTTGTTATTTGACAGGTTTACTCTCTTCCAGCAACCCAAATAAAATACAAGTTTTGAACTCTGTGCTTTGGCAGGAGGCAGGTCAGTCTCCCTGGGGACGTTACAGCCTGACACCAAGTCTGAGTTCACACTGATGCGGTGCGGAATTCGCAACAGTTTCTGTGTGAATACCGCACCGCATCACAATCGCATCCCAATCATGCGAATTGCTGCGGGTGTGTATGTTAAGTTAACAATACCCTGAAATCGGTCTCCAAAACACGGTGTGATGTGCAGAATCGGATAGCATGAGTGTGAATACTCATGCGATCCGATTCTAGTGTGGACCAAAAAAAAGGGTCCTGCACATTTTTGGTGCGGACGTGGTGCGATTTGTGTATGGCTCCAATCGCATCACACAGAATTCGCATAATTTGCACAGGAATGAGGTGCGGTTCCTGTGCAAATCATATGCGATATGCCGCACCGCACAAGTGTGAGCCCAGGCTCAAGTGACATTGCTTCACTGACCAGGAGAAAACATTTGTAACAGGACACACACCTTTCCCTGTAAAATAATGCTGCACTAATAAAATAACTTATGAGTGGAAATTCAGATTTCTTACAACAGCCCACTGCAGTAATAAAAATTAAAACAGGGACTCTGACTAAATTCTATGGGCAATAGTAGTTTTCATAGCTCAGTGATCCCTTTGTCAATCAGGTTTCAGGAATTAAACTATTAAAACACAACTACAGAGGAGAAACAAAAGAATATATGTGAATGCACTGTGACATCTTATCCTTCATCCTATTCTACATCTAGCACTGGTTTAATGTGTTTTATGTTTCTGGGTATAACTGGTCAACTTTGCAGAAGAGGATGCAGATCATTTTATATCTGCAAATCTTCTTTTATGATAACAAAAAAACGTATTGTAGAGAAAGTAAGACTCATTAAAGCTGGGTTTACACTTCTACAATCAGGTGCATTGTGGTAATATGCTTGGTACGGTAATGCATGTCACATTATATTGAATTGCACCCCAATGCACTAAGGCAATGCAACTCTAACACTGAGTGGTGCATCACAACACACACAGAAATGCTGCTGTGTGATGTCGTGCAATGGGGTTGATTTACTAAAACTGAAGAGTGCAAAATCTGGTGCAGCTTTGCATGGTAACCAATCAGCTTCTAACTTCAGTTTGTTCAGTTAAGCTTTGACAAATGAAACCTAGAAGCTGAATGATTTCTATGCTGAGCTGCACCAGAGTTTGCACGCTCCAGTTTTAGTAAATCAACCCCCGTGTGTTGCCAACCCATTCATTTAAATGGGTTGCCTTAACACCAATCATATTAATACAAAGTACAGCAGCAGAAATGTGTTATCAAGAAAGGATTTTTTTAAACTATGATGGAAGGAAGAGGAGACAAAAAAGGTATTAATCAGAGGCAATCTACAATCTATGTTTGAATTGCTTAGTTGCTGTCATTCAAATTAAGGAGCCAACAATGCAAAGAAAATGACATTAAAATAATCAACAATAATATTAACCCCTTTGCGCCGGCCGCACACAAATGTGTGGCCTCCCGGCGTCTGGGCCTAGACGCCGAGCGGCCGCACATTTGCGTCCATGTAACTAAATACATATGTGCTGAGAGCGCGCGCCCTGCGCGCTCCCAGCACATGTGTGGTACTCACGGAAAGGTCCCGGTCCGCTCTTTCGAACGGGACCTTTCCCGATCATGTGACCGCCGTGACGCGTCATCACGGCGGTCACATGATTCCTAAACCACGCCCCAACCGCCCCGCCTCCCGGTGTCTGAATCTCTTAAAGGGCCGGGAGGCGTCGGCGGGAAGGGGTTAAGGTAGGACTTTTTTTCAGTAATTTTGGACAGTGGTGCCTACAGATAAATAACACAAAAAACAATGTAACATATTGTTCTGTATTCATATCATTGTGTTGAATAGGGAACTGTATATTGGTCATTCACTGCAATGGCACCCTTTTTGTATTTTTATCAATAAAAAACAGAAAGTGTCTCATGTTTGTTAAGAATAAATATTTCCCTTCCACTCTAGCTTCCAGAAGAACACAAAAGTGAAAGTCCCCTTTCTCCTTTTGATACACATGTCTGTTAATTCATTAATTGTGTTTGTTAAAGTCACATACATAGCTATATCATATTTGAATGTATTTCATGTTATTTGTAGGTAGCAGTTTGCAAGAAATGTGTTCATTATAGGCATTTATGAGAGACTTGTTTACAAGCATATTGTAACTTTAGTTTATGTGATTGTATTGCAGTTTTACAGAACTCAGAAGTAAATTCAGTTTTGGAATGAAACACAACCCTGCTTCTGTCAGTTTTGTTAGCCATCTGTTGGCTATCTGTAAGTAGGACAGCATATAATAATGCTGAATGTTACACTAGAATTGTGATACAGTACTGATTTATGCTGCAGGAGAAGAGAAAGGTTCATTTAGGTCAGATATACTCACTGATTGCTGCATACTGTCAAATAAAACAGCATAATCACCCTTGAGTTTCATTAGGTCTTCATGAGTTCCTTGCTCTGAAATATATCCATCTTTCATGAATAAAATCTCATTGCACTCAGTCAGGTACTACAATAAATCAATACACCTAGTTAGTATTTACACTCAGAACAATTTTTGACACATTTTAGAAAAGGAAAAATCCATGCCACCACATAGAAATTTACAATTTCATTAACATAGTGTCAGGAGTCATTGGCTGCCAGTATTGTAAATGGTGTGTATGTGTCACCTAGGTTGCTCACATACACATGGGGCTTCAAGGGCAAACATCTTTTTTTCTCAGAATGTTAGGTTCTCATATGGGTCCTGGAGCCTTTGTAAAGTTTTGGGTGGGATAATACCTTGTAGGCAGGTGCAGTTATCAAGTCTGCCACTATGTGGCTCTGTGCCAAAATAGTGCCTGTTCACAGCAGGCAGTATCATCATGTGCTAGGCCCCTCTTAGGGAGAACCCTCTTGCAGTGATGTCATGGGTGAGGCAGCACCCATATATAAGCCAAGTTTGGAGGAGCCCTAGTTGAACTTGGGGAATGGGAGCCAAACAATCAACACCAGCACAGATGTATCCAGCACTTGGCTGAGGCAGGGATAAGAAGACCTGCACCCAGAAGAGCCAGTTGTAGACTTTGACCCTTATGGAGGTGGGGGCTAGGGTGGGTTGCAAAAGGCCTCTTAAGCTTGGACAAGAATTCCCTGTGTGAGGCTATTCCCTTGGAGGGTCCCGGGAGAGGTGAGAAGTTGCCTATCGAGGGTGCCTATAGAGTACTAGTCTTGTAAGTACTAATGAGCCTGGGTGGAAGGAGAGACTGTTAGAGGAAAATGGCTGCCTAAAGTGCTGCATATGCTTTCACATGTGACTGCTACGAACCATCCACTAAGTGTGATTGACTATGTAATGTCAAGTGACTCCAGAATGTATGTAATGTGACTGTTATGCCATTCCCTAAATACAGTAAAGTGCAGCAATTCTATTCATGTGTAGACATTCTTTCCTTGTAATATAAAGGTCAATGGTCGGGAATGTCATGTGGAGGCCTCTGGCATAGAGTGGGCACAATATGGTGGAGGGTTCGGCTTCAACAGGAGCAATGTTCTAGAAGGACAAGAGTGGGGGCAGGGTCTTGTGCTCTTGGTGCCATTACTAGCCAATTGCAAAGCCCCTCTTACAGCCTCCATCCTTAGGTCCACATCCTACCTGGTAGTCAGGCCTTAATATTAGTCCCAACTGTCCACAGGCCTATTTACATGTGAGCTGACAAATGCTCATGGCTCTCCCACACTGTTTATTTTATATTTAATTTCTTAGAACATGATCCATTGGACAGATGAAACTAATTACCATGGGCATGTTCATATGTACTTACAGAACACCTGTACCTGCAACTGATGCGTGACCAATAAGACACTCCTGTTCTGCATTCCATTCTTAATCGCTTTGTTAAATAACTCTCCTCCCACGTACACATCTACAGCGCTGAGAGGATCATCTAGAAGAACGAGGCTGCTTGAACTATAAAGGCATCGTGCCAAGCTGATCCGTTGTCGCTGTCCGCCACTCAGGTTAACACCGCGTTCCCCTATCTTCAAAGGGAAAGCAATTATCATACATAAATGAAATCTTTCTTGGGTAAACCCTAATGGTCCTAATAAATAAAATAATCAATATTAGAACAGTGTGCATTTTACTTACAGCAACCAATCCATTCAATCTGTTTTCCTTTAACTCTAGACTATAACATATTTTAATCTGAGCTTGATCTCTTTCTATAGAGTAACACTAATCATTTCCCTATTAGATATTTTTTACAAATAAAGTCTAATTGTATGTATAAATATGCTTCTACCATTTCAGTTTGCTCACCATATGTCACATAGAAGCCAGTGAAAATGTCAAATATCAGCAAATGTTATAGCTGTTATATGCAAAACTAGTAGATTCCATAGATGCATGTATGTCAATAGAAATCAGTTATGTGTGAAATATATGACTGTCATATTCAGAAGAGGACGCAGTTTACCTCAGTCAAGTCTCCAGTGGGTAGAGATTCAATGTCAGGGTAGAGACAACAAGCTTCCAAAGCTTTTTTGTACCTGTCAGCAGTAAAGTGAATTAAACCAAAGCTCATCACTTTCCACAATAAAGAGTAATACAACTGCTAATTAATGTGATTAACATCATTACACTCAGAACACAATTAGCAAAGCAAAAACTGCAAAACAGCTTAAGTCTAGGTTCACACCTATACAGGTTGCATATGATGTGCTTCTGCGTTGCGTTTTGCATTTTTGCAGTTGCGTTTTTGACGAGTTTTTGATGCATTTCGCATTTTTTTTTTATTTTTTCAAAATTTTCTTGTTGCTAAGCAGATTTTAAACGCAAAGCGCATAAAAAATGCCGCAAAAATGCAATACATGTTTTTCTGCAGCTTTCTCATTGAAGTCTATAGAACCAAAAACGCAATGTTTTGCATTCAAAAATGTCCCTGACCCTTTCCAAAAAATGGCCCGGGTGAAAACACGGAGATGTGAACCTGTCCCATAGAAATCATGTTAAATGGACTGTACTGCGTTTCTGAAAAAAACGCTTAGGTGTGAACCAAAGGTAAGGCTAAGTTCACACCTACGCAGGTTGCGTTTCAGCCATTTCTGCATTGCATTTTGCATTTTGCACCTGCGTTTTTGATGCGTTTTTGATACATTTTGCTTTTTTTTTCCATTTTTATTTTCTTGTTGCTAGGCAGATTTAAAATGCAAAACACATTGCAAACGTGGTAAAAATGCATCAAAAGCACAGCAAAAATGCACTACATGCTTTTCTGCAGCTTTTCCATTGAAGTCTATAAAACCAAAAATGCAACTTTGAGTTAAAAAAAGTCCCTGACACTTTCCAAAAAACGCACCAGGTGAAAACGCAGAGATGTGAACCTGTCGCATAAGAAATCATGTTAAATGGATTGTACTATGTTTCTACAAAATGCAAAACACTGTGGAAAATGCTTAGGTGTGAACCTAGGGTAAGACTAGGGGGTTGATTACTAAAGGCAAATAGGCTGTGATGTTTGCAAGGGAAATTTCCCTTAGCTTAGTCAATGTAGTGAAAATTCACTTTGCAAAGAAAAAACAATGATGTGCAAGGAAAAATAAAAAGCAACAGTGATATCTTTGCTTGCACATAATGATGATGGAAATTAGCAGCATTTCACCTCATTCACTAAGCTCTGGGGAAAACCCACTTGCAAAGGGAACAGCTTATTTGTCTTTAGTAAATCAACCCAGCATTCTTATGTGACAACTATGTAGAGTGGCTAGGCACTAAGGTGATCTGGCTTTGAGCTTTTGTCAATGGAATCAGTTTGACAAGATTATAGAATCATTCAATATTAATTGACAGGTGCATTCGACCTGCAGCTAACCTCTTTCTTAGCTGCATTTGACCTAAGTGGGTTTTACATTCTCATTAGGGATGCACCGAAATTTCGGCCACCGAAACATATCGGCAAAAAAAAGCCCTATCAGCATTCTGCCGATAGGAAAAATGTAGCCGATACAGGTGCCGATACAGGGGACTGTGTGTACTGCAGATGTGAGGAGGGGGTGGCAGAGAAAGGCAGGAGAGAAGAAGTGTATACAGTGACTGGCTGTCACTATATGTCAGTGCCGGTTTTTAAATGTAATTACCGGCTTTTGTTTTTCTTCACTATAGCTCAGGCAATCAGCTGTCACTTTCCCGCAGCTAAAAGAAACAAAGTTTCCTTTTCGTTTATTTCCCCGAGTTAAAAAAAACAATGTTTCCTTTTAGTTTCTTTCCCAAGATAAAAGAAACAACGTTTCCTTTACCTCCGGGGAAAGTGACAGCTAATTCTGTGAGCGATAGCGAAGATAAATAAAAGCAGGCAATTGCATTTAAAAATCGCATTTTGGCACCGACATATAGTGACAGCCAGTGAGGGAGCCTCTCTGTATACACAGATCCATCACTGTATATACTGCCCCCCTACAAAGAGGACCTGTCACTCATATGCCATTACATAGGAGAAAATTGATCCCGTATGTGATAGCAATAAAATCATGTTAAATATATATATATATATATACACACACATGAAAGTAGAAAAAAAATTTGGAGCCTCCTCAACCCCACATACGCAGACATTTCGGTTTCGGTTCTGTTTTCGGCCATATATATTCTGAATTTTCAGTATCGGTTTTGGCACCAGAATTTTCATTTCTGTGCACCACTAATTCTCATTAGTAAAGGTTGATTTACAAAAGAAAAATAGGTTGTTCACTTAGCAAAGACAGTTAGCACTTTGCATAGAAATTATCCCCAAAGATCAGTGAAGGTGATACAATTTCACTTTTCACGGAATACGCAATCTTGTGCAGAGATAATTTGAAAAAACAGCATTTTTCCTTGAACATGTTTAGATGAAGGACATCAACAGAGTTTCATGTCATTCACCAAGCTTTGGGGAAAATTCCTATGCAAAGTAAAACTTCCCTTGCTAAGTAAACAGTCTATTTGCCATTAGCAAATCATCCCCATAAACCTATATCAGAAAGGAAAACCCACTTGAAGCAGTCAAAAGCCTGTTGACACAGGCCCTAATATGATCATTTAACGAGGAGCAAAGCACAACAAGAAAATTGCATTCACCCACAGCAACCAGCAGAATTTTTCCTAATAAAAACAGACCAGTACAGGGCTGGATCCTAATTGGTTGCTATGGGTACTGCCATTTGCCCTTTGCACTCTGCTACTTGCAAAAGTTTGTTAAAAACCCTGTTTGAATTAAACTGAACTGAAAGTCGTTTTAAAGCCTAAGAATTTTTTTAACTTAAAGTGGTTGTAAATCCTTACATATACCCAGTGAAATGACTGCCCTCAGGTGATACACAGAGATTAACCTCTTGCCGTCCGCCTGCTGTTGATAAACGGCAGGGCGGTGGCACTCCAGGGGCGGGTTGCCGTTCATAAACGGCACCCGCCTTTTCTAGCTGTGCGCGCTCCCTGGGAGCGGGGCAGCACCGCGATCCGGTGCCCGCTGTGTCCTCAGGACACAGTGAAATACTGATCGTCGGACGGGACCTCTGTACGAGGTCCCGATCATGTGATCACTGATTGGCGAATCAGTGATCACATGCAAAGTAGTAAGCAAGATGTCACTTGTGACATCATTGCTTACTACGTGTGAAATGGTACAAGGCTATTCACAACAGCCTTGTACCATGTGACAAGCTGTGACCAATCACAGCTCACTCAGTACTTCTCAATGACTGCAAGAATGCAGACAGAGAGAAAGAGAAATGATTGCTTTTACATCCTATATGGGTGTAAAAGCAATCAGTGTAAAAAAAGAAAAAAAAAATCTTCATCACTGCCCACAAGTAGTACAGTGTCACCATGGTGACACTGTACTGCTAGGGTGACAGTATGTAAAAAAAAAAAAAAAAAATAAATAAAAAATAATATAAAAAAAATAAAATAAAAATGTAAAAAAAAAAAAAATGTTTAAAAATTATAATTTTTGGTTATAAACTAATTTGGATTTTTTTTTTACTAAAAAAATAACGGAATAAATTTTGGCCAAGATTTATGATTAAACATTATTTATTTGCAAAATTTTATTAAAAAAACCACTGTTTTCAAAATTTTTGGACTTTTTCATTTACATAGTAAAACAAATAAAAATCCCAGCGGTGAATAAATACCACCAAAATAAAGCTTTATCTGTCTCAAAAAAATGGTAAACAATTCATATGGGTACAGTATTGCATGGCCGCGCAATTGTCATTCAAAGTGTGATAGCGCTGAAAGCTGAAAATTGCCCTGGACAGGAAGGGGGTAAAAGTGTCCGGACAGGAAGTGGTTAAACAAATCCTTCTACATAGCTTTTACTTGTCAATCTGCAGTCTTCTCTCCCTTACATCTGTTCAAAGTACTGAATTTATAAAGCTTGTCTGAAAGTTTGGAAAAAAGTGGGCGGAGAGCTGAAGTTACATTCTGCAGTGCTCATTAAGGAAAACTCTGAGAGCTGATTGGAGGGATGAGATACCCCCTCCTTCACACAGCTCACAGGAACAGAGCTGAGGTTCCTCCCCTGTCACCATTTTGCTCTTGGTGTCAGGAAAACCTGTCAGAAGTGATTGATGCTGATAGCAGAGGAATAAAGCAGCAGACAGAAATGACACTTAATTGAGACAACTACACACTATAGAGGGATATGCTTTGTTCATATTTTATGCCTGAGGTTTACAACTACCTTGATGCATTCTATGCATTAAGGTAAGAAAATGCCCCGCTATCAGTCATCCTTCCCCAGGCCCCAAACATTAACCTTCCTCCACACTTAGGCTGACCATACACTTAACAGTTTTCTTAATATTTTTCTGTCCAATTTCTGCCTAATTTCCTTTAGATTTACCTTCAACTATGTAGTGCAAGGGCCTGCCTAATTGGACACAATTGAAAGTGTTGTTTAGGTTTGACCTCTTATATGGTTTTTGGTAAATTTAAAGCAAAATTCTAAAGAAAATGGTATAATGTATGGCCAGTGTAAATCCATCGTTGTGCCCCTCTGCAGCACTACTGTGAGGAAAGAGGGCAGGACTAGGAGCCGATCAGGCTTTGCAAAAAAGTATTTTAAGTGGAGAAGTGAGCAAAGAGATCAGCTAATAAGTCTTCTGCTGTCCCTTCAGTGTCCAGTAATACACATGGGATGAGGAGGTGGCCAGGCTCTGTTTTATGACTGCAACAGAGAAAATACAGGTCACCAAACTTGTTGTGTTGCATGTCAGGACTGTGCAAATTTCATAATTCTGTGCATTCCATTTTGCACAGGATCAAGCACCAGCACCCATATTCTACATCTCTCCCCCATTTGTTAGCTGTTGTTAAAGTTGAACTTTAACAAAAAACAGCTAGACACAAAGATTTTTATTTAGATTTTTATTTCTGTAATTCCAGTCCTGAGATTTACACAGCTCTGGCTCGCAGCCAAGCCCCATCCTGATGGACATATGACCTGTTTTTAGCCAAGTTCACTAATGCTTACAGGTCCTTTTCTTGATCTCACCCTATGACTGGAAAGTGAACAGCACTCTTTGCCATGAGAATGCCCAAAAGTAGAAACAGGGCATTTAGATCATCAATCTGCAGAAGCAGCCATCAAGTGTAAAGCTAGTGCTGGACTTTCTTACTAGCCATCACAGCATGTACTGCACACACTGAAACAGGTTATTGATTGTAAAAACAAGATTTAACATATAAAATGATAAGAAATAGTTAATGAAACAGCTGACACTTTTGTAATCAACAGTTTACATAACCTCTGTGAGTTAGAAGGTGAACTAGAACATAGCTTACTTTTCTTCTTCGTAGTCTTCCCCAAACAATATATTCTCTCTCAGGGATGCATTAAATATCCAGGCTTGCTGGGCTGCATAGGAGATGCTGCCATTCACTGACACTGTTCCTCCAGTAATGTCATCTAGATAAAATACAGTGAACAGCCACTTTACGAGGTGTGTTTCATAACACTCACCCTTTACCCCACAGTCAAAGAGCTTCATAGTTAAGAATCCTAAAAGGCCAATCGCATGTTAGTAACTATACATATATCTGCTGTACCATTAGATTATACTGCAAATACATTTTAGCTAAAAAAAAAAAAAAATCAAATACATGATATAAATATGTCTGCATATTTTAAAAATTATTATAAATATATTTTATACACTGCTCAAAAAAATTAAAGGAACACTTTTAAATCAGATTATAGCATCAAGTCAATTAAACTTCTGTGATATTGATTTGGTCAGTTAAGTAGCAGAGGGGGTTGTTAATCAGTTTCAGCTGCTTTGGTGTTAATGAAATTAACAACAGGTGCACTAGATGGGCAACAATGAGACGACCCCCAAAATAGGAATGGCCACTGACATTTTTTCCCTACTCATATTTTCTGACTGTTCACTAGTTTTGCATTGGGCTAGGGTCAGTGTCACTACTGGTAGCATGAGGCGATACCTGGACCCTACGGAGGTTGCACAGGCAGTCTAACTCCTCCAGGATGGCACATACATGCCATTGCCAGAAGGTTTGCGATGTCTCCCAGCACAGTCTCAAGATGGTGGAGATTCCAAGAGACAGGCAGTTACTCTAGGAGAGCAGGACAGGGCCATAGAAGGTCATTAACCCATCAGCAGGACCGGCATTTGCTCCTTTGTCTAAGGAGGAACAGAATGAGCACTGCCAGAGCCCTACAAAATGACCTCCAGCAGGCCACTGGTGTGAATGTCTCTGACCAAACAATCAGAAACAGACTTAACCTCCCTGGAGGTATTCCCGAGTGTAGCTCGGGGTAAAGTTTCAGCACCACAAGTGGTAACCCCGAGCTACACTCAGGAATACGTTGCAGCGTTGCTCCGGGATCCCTTCTGCACTTACCTTGTCCTTCGCTCCTGCGATGTCCCTCCTGCAGTGTCCCCTGTAATGTCCTCCGGCCGATGCCAGCATCTGTCTTCCGGGTTTTTTTCCCTGGGACGTCGGAACGTACAGGGGATGCAACCAGTGGGAAATTTAAAAATGTCAAAAAGTGACATTCACTAAATACACTAAAATGACTTAGTATAACATTACTGTATCAAAGCATTTCACATACATTTTGTCCCTAGTGTTTTGTCCTGTGCCCTGCCTGCATTTTTACTGTTCTTTCTGCCTGGAAACTGAGAAATGTCCATGGCGTCCAAAAAGCGTCCCTTTAGGTCAAAAGCAGTTTTAGACCAGCTGGAGAACAGCGATAGTAAATTAGAACCATTTGCAGAATTGAGTGATGATTCGTGGGGAAATTCGTCATCAGACACTGAAAATGATTTTGCGACTTTGCTCAGCGATGTGCAAACTTAGCGCTCTATTTCAAATTTAAGTGTTTTGAAATGTTTGAAGTGTTTTTAAGTGGCCTGAGGGTCCAACGTCCTCTAGTGGTCCCTGTGCTCACTTCCCGGCACCATAGAGCTCAATTGGCATTTGCCATTGAACACCAGAATTGGAGGGTCCACCACTGGCACCCTGTGCTTTTCACAGATGAGAGCAGGTTCACCCTAAGCACATGTGACAGACGTGACAGGGTCTGAAGAAGCCATGGAGAACGTTATGCTGCCTGTATCATCATTCAGCATGACCGTTTTTGTGGTGGATCAGTGATGGTCTTGGGAAGCATATCCATGGAGGGATGCACAGAACTCTACAGGTTAGAAAATGGCACCCTGACTGCCTTTGGGTATCGGGATGAAATCATTGGACCCATTTTCAGGCCCTACGCTGGTGCAGTGGGTCCTGGGTTCCTCCTGGTGCACGACAATGCCCAGCCTCACGTGGCGAGAGTATGCAGGCAGTTCCTGGAGGATGAAGGAATTGATACCACTGAATGGCCCTCACGCTCTCCTTCCCTAAATCCAATAGAAGACCTCTGGGATATCATGTATCGGTCCATCCAACGCTGCCAGGTTGCAGCTCAGACTGTCCAGGAGCTCAGTGATGCCGTGGTCCAGATCTGGGAGGAAATACCTCAGGACACCATCTGTCGTCTCATTAGGAGCATGCCCCGATGTTGTCAGGCATGCCTACAAACACGTGGGGGGTCATACAAACTACTGAGTACCATTTTGAGTTGCTGCAATAAAATCTCAGCAAAATGGACTAGCCTGCTGCATCATTTTTGCACTTTGATTTTTCGGGGTGTCTTTGAATTCAGTCCTCTGTAGGTTGATCATTTTCATCAAACGATGGGGCATCCTTACATTCCAAACACATTACCCAGTCCATATCAGTATAGATATCCAGCATGATATTTTTCTTCATTGAGATCTGATGTGTTTTTAAAGTGTTCTTTTATTTTTTTTGAGCAATGTAGATTATATACAGTTGTATTCAAAATAATAGCAGTGTGTTGAAAAAAGTGAATAAAGCACAAAATCCTTCTAATAGCTTTTATTTATATACACAAATGCATTGGGAACACTACACATTCTATTCCAAATCAAAACATGAAGAAAAATATATCAAAATGTGTGTTGTTCCTCTAAAAAAATTGAAGAATTGAATTGAATATTAGACTGTTCAAAAAAATAGCAGTGTTTGTATTCTTCTTTACAAACTCAAACATTCACTATATAAACTGAAACATGTTTGAAGATTTTGCTTTCCTTTGAATCACTTAATGAATATTTAGTTGTATAAGCACTGTTTCTGAGAACTGCTGTACATCTGTGTTGCATGGAGTCAACCAACTTCTGGCACCTGTGAACAGGTATTCCAGCCCAGGATGATTGGACTACATTCCACAGTTCTTCTCTATTTCTTGGTTTTGCCTCAGAAGCTGGATTTTTGATGTCACCCCACAAGTTTTCTATTGGATTAAGATCCGGGGATTGGGCTGGCCACTCCATAACGTCAATCTTGTTGGTCTGGAACCAAGATGTTGCACGTTTACTGGTGTGTTTGGGGTCGTTGTCTTGTTGGAACACCCATTTCAAGGGCATTTCCTCTTCAGCATAAGGTAGCATGACCTCTTCAAGTATTCTGATGTATTCAAACTGATCCATGATCCCTGGTATGCGATAAATAGGCCCAACACCGTAGTATGAGAAACATCCCCATATCATGATGCTTGCGCAACCATGCTTCACGGTCTTCACAGTGTACTGTGGCTTGAATTCAGTGTTTGGGGGTCGTCTGACAAACCGTCTCCGGCCACTAGACCCAAAAAGAACAATTTTACTTTCATCAGTCCACAAAATGTTGCGCCATTTCTCTTTAGGCCAGTCAATGTTCTCTTTGGCAAATTGTAACCTCTTCAGCACATGTCTTTTTTTCAACAGTGGGACTTTGCGGGGCTTCTTGCAAATAGCTTGGCTTCACATAGGCGTCTTCTAATTGTAACAGTACTCACAGGTAACTTTAGACCTTCTTTGATCTTCCTGGAGCTGATTGTTGGCTGAGTCCTTGCCATTTTGGCTATTCTTCTATCTATTTGAGTGGTAGTTTTTCGCTTTCTTCCATGTCTTTCAGGTTTTGGTTGCCATTTTAAAGCATTTGCGATCATTTTAGCTGAGCAGCCTATCATTTTCTTCATTTCTTTATATGTTTTCCAGTCTCCAATTAACTTTTTAATTAAGGTACACTGTTCTGAACAATATCTGGAACGACCCATTTTCCTCAGAATTTCAGAGAGAAATGCACTGTAACCAGCATGTACAACATTTGCTGCCTTCCTTCCTTAAATAAGGGCAATAATTGCCACCTGTTTTTCAAAGAATGAATGACCTCACTAATAGAACTCCAAACTGCTATTATTTTGAACATGCCCCTTTCAATTAGTGATTCAATTACACAGAATCAGCAGCATGCATGTCAAGACTGTTGGGTCTGTTGGATTTCTATTACTCTACTACACCTGCTAGTAAATTATTTGGCATGTAGAAATATCATTTCTACCAAAAACAGTGATTGATCAGGTTAGTGATGTCTGACTACTATTATTTTTAACACAACTGTGTATATATATATATATATATATATATATATATATATATATATATATATTTTTTTTTTTTTTTTTATTTATTTTTTTTTTTTTAAATAATAAATTATATAAAGATACTTTTAATGATTTTTCTGCAAGCAATAAGTGACAAAAACAGTTTACTTTTCAGAAGACATGGAGGATCACCTCTTGAAGAGAATATTAATTGTAGGGGTTGAAATGTGCCATTGGCTTAGCTCTGCACAGCTAAGAGAATAACTGGTGACCTTGACACAAATGTGCATCCCACAGATATTATTTGTATGTAACACTGGGGTTGATATACTAAAACTGGAAAGTACAAAATCAGGCGCAGCTGTGTATGGTAGCCAATCAGCTTCAAACTTCAGCTTGTTCAATTAGGCTTTGAAAATAAAACTTGGAAGCGGATTGGTTTCAATGCAGAGCTACACCAGATTTTACACCATGCAGTTTTAGTAAATCAACCCCAAAGCTTTGCTAAGATTCTGTATGGCTGCATTAGTTATTCAATATATCTCTAGTAAAGTTCCTCCTGTGTTCTCTTCTTCCTGTAAGCCTGCCTACACACATACTATAGCAGGACCCAGTACCTAAAACATGTGAGGATGTCACCATATTTTATGCTTTCTGGCCCTCACATTCTCAACCAGATTCTCAGTGTACAAGGGATTATGGTATGATAATACAAAGAAAGATTTTGGGTAATTATACAAGCCATACATACAGTATATATTAAAGTGGAAGTCCTGTGTGCATGTAATGGACTAGGAACTCCAATATAGAGTCCCAGACAGAAATGAACAGCTTATGTGTGCGTTAGCATACTTATATGTGTCCAGTATTGAAATCTCAGTATTGAGTGATTTTGATTTTTAAACCTTTACAACAGCAGAGAACTGATTTCAAATAAAAAGTTACAAATCACTGTGTGTAACCATTTAAAACCTGTATTTAATGGCCTTTTAAATTTAAAGGAAGATAATTATTTTTCTCCTGAAACAGCATTGGTGTTGTGTGATTAGTTAGATCAGAACAATGCTTATCATAGTTCCTTTTCTATGCTAACTTGAGAAATAACCTTATATTACACCCATTCAATACACCAGGGGAACATGTTTAAAGCAATATTAAACCCCAAACTAAAAATATATATTGCAGCTTACCAATCATTAGATGATGGCTGCATTACTTTTCTTTTTTAGAGTTTTTCCCCTCTGTTTTCACCTGGTGAACTGGCCAGTAACATACTTCTTGTATTAGAGTTCCCCCACTCTGCATGACGGAGCACAGGGGCACTTTTGGACAGCGGCATTGTCAGTCTAGGGGGAGGGGACTGTTCCATGTACTAGCAGATTTAAAATAGCAGTTTGGGGTTGTTTTTTTTTTCCCCCAAATTATACTTACCTAGGTGGATGCAGCATCGGTCCAGTGCTGCACCTATCCCCTGCCGGCTCTAAGTGTGAGAACTCAGTGATCACATGACCGCTGATCGCTGAGTTCTCACTGCCGCTGTGAGCAGAGATTCTGTCTGCTCTGCCATGCCCCCTGCTCACTGGAGCGCTGAGCTGTGGAGGGGGAGGGGCTGGCTCAGGCTTTCAGTGCCTCGCTGAGAGGCTGAGTCAGGTGCTGCTCCAGACTCTGGGGTGGATCCTGAACTTAAAGTTGGTATCTTTCCCCAGTGACATTAGTACAACAGCGGAAATCAGCCTGCTATCAGCTGAAAACGGGTCACAGGAGTGTAGAACAAACTGAACTCACAGAAGTATAGCCAAAAGTTCTTTGGCTGTACTTCTCCTTTAAATACACTAATACTTTTTCCTTTTGGGATAAAGGTTTTACATACTGTAAATCTATGAAAGTTGATCATTGTAAGCACCTCTGCTAGTGTTAAATGGTTTGCCTTATCTCTGTATCTGATACATTCTGCTGGAAAGCTTATTCTTTTGAAAAACAACAGACTTACAGGCTAGATCACCAGATGAAAATGAAAGAAAAAAAAGCCTAAAAAGGGAAACTAATACAGCTATCGCATGAAGAATTGGCTCATCAGTATGATAAATGTTTGCTTTTGGGTTTAATATCACTTTAAATGGCAGAGGCCACCTTTAGCTATCTGTTATGTTTAGCTCATATGTTCTTGGAAGGAAAGATTACAGAATGACTTTGCAGTACTGAGTGTGCCTGCGATCGGTTTCGCTGTGCTGTGCCATGTTTGGTAGATAAGAAAGTTAAAGGTTAGGTGTATTTGTGAAATAAGTTACAGCTAGTTAAACAAGTCCTCTTTTTGTCATACAACAATAATTTTCCAAATAGAAAAAAAAAAGCTGGATAAAGTAAAAATTACAGAACAAAAAAATGTATAATTATTATTGTGGGGATGATGATGGATTATGATTAATATTATTATTGTTGTTGTTATTATCATAATAATAACTTTTTATGCACATACCGATTTTCATTTTATTTTAAGTATAATTTTAAAGTATAACATCTAAAGCCATGTTTTTAGATTTGAATAACACAGGCAATAGTTAAAACCACTGTCAAGATTCAAACTACAATATATCACTGTATTGTTTGTGATATATTGCTGGAAGTGCTGGAGAAGATAAACCTATATTCAAAATAAAGAATGTAAAAATAAAAAAAGGTTTTCCAGCCATTAATTTGAATAAGCTGCCTTACACAGCAAAATACATAAAATTGGCCTAAACACAATGCAGCTTAGTGCATGTGTGTCAACACGCAAATACACGTGTAAATTAGCCCTAAGAGGAATTTTAAATGTATGGTTCATCATGTAAAACACATCTGCATATTATGTTCAGCTCTCGTGCACACCTAACAACCTACACTCAGAATATCAGTCTACATTAAATTATACATTACCATTTCAATAAGTGAGTTGTTTATACAGGAAAAAAAAATTAAGGCAACATGCACTTTAAATTTTCAATAACATGGAAGAGTTAGTGTACTGCGTAGTCAAAGATGCACATAGGTTAGCCCAACATACCTGACCTAGTATGGATAATATTAAGGAACTTTTACCGCAGCCAACACTTCCGCAAACACCAACAAGTTTACCCTACAGATGGAAAAAGTGGTTTGATTAGAATCTATATTATGTTGTACATTATGGTTCTACAGCAAAGTCACTGAAATCACGTATCACAATTGAAAGGAATGCAAATCATGGTTCCTGCCCGTAGTAAACACTACTTTTTTTCTAAATCAAACTGATTAACAAAGTCAGCACAGACAAACGTTTCACTTACTACTGAAGTAAGATAAATTTGGATGCAGGGCTTGGAGAGAGACAATTGGTTATTCCAATATGCTAAACTGACCACTGGACTGCAGAGCACATGCCTGCACAAATCATGAGTTTATTTATATAGCACCCTATGGATACAGCCCTGACCAATTGCAGAGGAAGGCAGTCCCATTGCATGCTGGGAGTGGTATTTATATTCTGAGACCACATGGGTTCAGTGTCTTTCCCGGGAGTGGATTGTCCCAAGCCAGGCTGAAGGCAGGCTGCCTCAACTGGCACTTTCTGCCATGTGGCCTCAGATAAGTCAACCTAAGGACCTGAAGTTAGAGAGAATGACCAAAGTTCTGAAGTAAGCTGACTGAGGAGAGTTGTCTGCCAAAGCTCTGGCTGGTATCACTGGAGGATTTTGCTTGGAAGATTGGAAGGTGGCAACCATTCTGTCCTTGGGTCTTGTGAGTACTGACATTGAAGAATTTGGGGACACCATGTGCTTGCGACCTCCCCTGGTGCTTGATAGTCAGTATGGGTCTGGAACAAGGGAACAATGGCTAGTGTTCTGAAGAGCGTGTCCAAGTGTTGCTGCTGCAAAGGACTTTGCTCAGCTACATTACCTTTGGGCTATCACAGTCTGTTGTAACTGGCTTATACCTGAGGAGCTCAACCCTGTAACTACTAATACTGCAAAAAAGGACTTTGCTCACTCCTAAACTACTTGTTGCTACAAAGTAAAGGGAAGTCTGCTATCTACTGTCAGCTAGGACCTCATAAGTGCTCAGCTAGATGCCCTCATTGTGAATTGTTCTGATTTTGGTGTATCCTACTACAATTCCCTATCCCTATCCCCAGTTCTACAATAAATTCCAGAAATAAAATATCCCTTAGACTGGTCATTGAAGGCAACAAGCGGAAGTGTGTGTGAGTGTATTTGGCTGAAGAAATACACAGTGCCTGGCTGCGAGTCGAAACAAGGGAGCCTGTGGAAAACATACAAGCGGCTCCTTGGGGGGTAGCACTACATTTAAAGTCCCAAAACACCTTGCGTAGTCACACTCAGGCTTGTCCCTATACAAAACATTAAGTGAGCAACCTGGAAGCACCAGAGCCAGGTGGACACAGACCGGAAAACGACCTTCCAAACTGTAGTCACAAATTTTAAGGCCTCATTCACATGGGGCGTACTAAACCGTATGCTCATGGCGATCCACTGTGCCCCAAATGACATCAATAAAACTGCCTGAATGGTCATGTAAGGAACTCCTGTTTGGGTAAACACATCCCTCCATGGATGTAACCTGTAGTGTGCCTGTTGTAAATGAGGCCTAATAGAGTATCTCAAGATCTGGGGCTCCCAGGGATCACTTGGAGTTGCCTGTTCCAGTTCCAGTTTACAATACTGGAATAACCCACAGGTATAATTTAAACTTTAAAAAACAAAATCCTAAACTGTCATCAAGGCCAGCATCTATGTACCTTCCATTTCCAGGATCATGTCTGCTACTAAATGCTCTATACAGTTTTTATTTATTTTATTACAGGTATTTCAATAATGCTGTCAATTTACACTAGTCCCTGCCCTCAAGAAGCTTAAAATCCAAGGCAACCAATTTCACATGCATACATACACATACTAGGGCTGCCATGTTTCACATGACTGTCATATGCCTTTAAGTGTTTCTAGATTTTGTTTCTGCTCCTCCTTTTCCTTTGGTTTAGTTAATGCTGTATAGATAGCCCTCCCCCTTTCCCAGAAATGCATTGCAGCTCTAGCCTCATGTCATGGAGCAGGAAACATTATGATCTTTTGACCTATCGAATGTTCATTGTTGTAAGATTTTCTCAGTTTACGGAATAAAGTTCACAAGATTTACAAGATGTCTTATCGATTGAGTCACTGACTGTGGTATCCAGCTGAGGTTGAAGTTATCGCTATCTCATCACAACTGTAAGTTACAGAGATCACACTATCAATGTTTAGATTGGAGAGACAGAACAAGGGCCAATTTCTCTAACAGCATGTCTTTGGAGTTTGCATGTTCTCCCTGTGCTTGTGTGGGTTTCCTCCCACCTTCCAGACAGGTAGTGCCATGGTTGGGATTCTAACCAAAAACCCTAGTGCTCCTAGCCGGAAGTACTAACCACTTAGCCACTGTGCTGTCCATTTTTTCAGTTTTTATTATATAGAAATGCCATACTCATGCCTCATCAGACTTTACACTATCTATCCCAATCAGTTCCCAATCAGGAAATTCTCTACATTGAAATACCTTGGCTTTAATCTTACATCAATACATAGGATATGATATGATACACTCTAAAAGGTCAACTTCCTCCCATTATATGCCTCCATCAAGGCTTCTCTCACTAAATGGAAAACTCATAAGCTTTCCCTGTTTGGTCATATGACTACTATTAAAATGGATATTTTACCTAAATTCCTCTACCTTTTTGAGACAAAACCCATAACTAACCTGTCTTTGCCCCTTAGGAAAATCCAAACCTACCTGCTAAATTTTTTCTGGTAACCTAAGTTTTCTGTTCTGCAGATACTTTGGGGGAGATTTACTGAAACCGGAGAGTGCAAAATCTGGTGCAGCTCAGCATAGAAACCAAATCATAAAAAGATAAAAACTCAGCGAGCGCTCAATATAAATAAGCAGCCATGCACAATAAAGGAAACCATAAACCTACAAAACGACATATAAAATAAAATAAGTACAGCGCTAAAATGTGAGTAGTCCTGGTGGATAAAGGACATATAATTCATGTACACGATAAAAGTCCATCATAGATGTATATATATAAAGAGCTCAAAGTGACTTCAAATATCCCCAATTCATCATCTCCTCAAAGATCGATGAGAGGCAACGTATGGATAAAATGCGCACTCACCAGACGCTCAAAGGTATTGCGCAGTGTATAAATAAATGGAGGTCTGCCACTGGGTCTCTCTCAGGATGGAAACAGCCCGGGAAGGATGGATAGCGTGAGGATGAAATATTCAACCAGAGGTCCACTTTAAGTACACGGGTGCAGCCTCTTCAATGTAATGGGATAGTTACCAGGGGGAGCTCTAGGGGATTAAATGCTCAATGTGCTCGCAACTTTGTGTCTCCACAGAGTCGGTATGTCATGACCCTTCTTCTACTTTTCCCTGGGCTCATACCGGCTCTGTGGAGACACAAAGTTGCGAGCACATTGATCATTTAATCCCCTAGAGCTCCCCCTGGTGACTATCCCATTACATTGAAGAGGCTGCACCCGTGTACTTAAAGTGGACCTCTGGTTGAATATTTCATCCTTACGCTATCCATCCCGGGCTGTTTCCATCCTGAGAGGGACCCATTGGCAGACCTCCATTTATTTATACACTGCACAATACCTTTGCGCACAATACCTTTATCCACCAGGACTACTCACATTTTAGCGCTGTACTTATTTTATTTTATTTTATTATATAGAAACCAATCAGCCTCCAGGTTTTTTTTGTCAAAGCTTAATTAAACAAACCAAAGTTAGATGCTGATTGGCTACCATGCACAGCTGGATCAGATTCTGATATTCTAGTTATACTAAATTTCCACCAGTTCATCCAAAGCCAGTTTTTTGTTTTGAAAAAGTAAGCAATGGCGAAAACCACTGTCAGATTTGTTTTGCCATCTGTGCCCTACTGGAGAGATTTGACTTCACTGCTCCTTAGACACAACGAAAATTAGGAGGAAATACTGTATCTCCAAAATAAGAGATATTCCCTCTTAAACAGCTGTTGCCAGAATAAGCGTCGATAGAACAATTTCCTATTCCTGATCTATTTCTGCTCTGTTAACAATTTTAAACACTTTCTGTCCTGGAAAGAATGGCCACAGCCATTGTCTCCCTGTGTTTCTTCTCCATTCCCCAGTCTGAGCTCTGCTGTAAGGGAATAGCAGGTGGCTGATACCAAGTCAACTAGCTGCATTTGAAAATACCTGCATATTGAACACATACATGCATTGATTTTTTTTATCTGCTCTTTAATTAAGGGAATGTTTATCAGAAGCATTGAACAGCAAAATGGGCAAGTACAAAAGTTAACTAATACTAAACTAAGCACTGGAAAACTTACTCTCTGTAAGGTGAAATTGATATTTTGAAGCACAGGTAAACCCGCCATTATAGATAAATTGAAATTATTGGGGTCTGGCTTTGGTTTATGATTTCCATTTGCCAAACATGGATCCTTCTGGAGACACGGTGTTCTACACTGTTCAATTTTTTTTCTTCTCCCTAGCATTATCCTTTGATGCGTACTTTTGCTGGTCCTCATACTTCTCCATTGAGATCAGAATTCCTGAATTCCATGCCAGGTAAGCACCCTGGTACTCAATAATGAAGTCTGAGTTTATATTTTCACTGCTGTTCATTGCTCTTTCCTCCGTCAGGAGCAGCTTCTACAATCAGGCAGAAAAATGCAAATCAAGAACAGAAAGAAAAACCTTAACAACCAGTGTACAGATTAGATTTTTTAAGGCAAACTCAATTATTGCTACAAAAAAAGAAGTATTCATTTACGTTATAAAACACTTTTCAGAAAATACATTACACTTTATAGCAGAAATATAAGCAAAGTGTTAAATACACTTTGTAATATGCATATATGGTTATTATTTTGCCTGCCTTAAGGTTTGTAATTTTGGTTGGTTGCTCTGATGATACACACATCTGCTAGTCAGGATAATCACTCTGCTACTTACTTATTTACTGTCTCCTGGGTCAGCTCCCTGCTCACGGAATATATGCAATGTAGTAATAATAATAATAATAACAGTCATATTAATAATTTATTGTCCATTGAGCAGGCATTGAGTGTTGCTGAACCAGGAAATATGTGCGTCGCCTACGCAATCATACAGTGTGGCAGAGGTTTGTAAATCACAAGACTGACTGGCCAGAATTTCAAATCCTTTGACAGGTAAAATAGCAAATTTACATGATCAGCTGTACAATATGTTTAGCTGCTTGTCTGGAACATAAATTCAATCCATCCTGTGGAGTCTAGTTACAATGGTTACCCACACTGTTGTCATTTCAAACACTAACTCCCAGTTAAAATAATGTCTCTCTTTTAGCAAACTATGGGCATGGCAATAATGAAAAAAATAACTTGACTCCCTCATCCACACACTCGATGTGAATGGGATAATCATTCCGGCTATGCTATTGATTTCTGATGGCGTGAGAATTCCCCAGATGTAAAATATATTTGGTTTAAGTCAGCATCTGAAATATTTATATGTAAATATGAGAATATTTTTATTATTTGATACTAATAATAAAAATGTAGAAGTGAGCGCTATCCAATCAGCAGCTAAGCACTCAAGGTAACCAACATAAACCTTACAATAGAATAGATAAAACAGTGCAGCGCTAAAATTATAATTCAAAAAAGTATTGGACGACAAACTGATAGTAAAAGTTCAATATAAATGACAATCTATTTGACTAATAAGGTGGCAGGTGACTGGTTAAAACTAGATGGTGGTGCTCCATGAAAAATGGCAGAATTACGCACTCACCAGATGCGTAATAGTTATATGCATTAAGTATCACATCCAGAGGTTTCCTCCTCATCAGATATAGGTCTGGTCAAGGCTTAGGTGGTCCTCCCTCAGGGTAGTAGTTAGCAAATGCCAGTGCCTCCCCCACCCCCCTTTGCCTGCTGTCCCTCTGCCTATCCCTTTACCCCTCCCTCCCCCCTTGCAGATTCCTCCTGTCCTGCCAGCCTACATCAAAGGGCTGTGCAGGACAGGAGGAAACGCCCCCTGTGGTGCGGTCAGCACCTCTCGGGCCCTCCACCAAGAATCTCCGGCAAAGGGCCGCCAAGGTGCCTCTGTGCCCCCCCCCCAGGATTCCCACGCCAGAGACAAAGGCCGCGCTCTTGAGAGCGCGGCCCTTGTCAAGGGGCGTGCCTTGCTGCCCCGGCAACCCAACGCTGGGCCGGGGGCAACAGGGAAGTGTCCTGCGCTGGCTTAAAAAGGCTGGTGCGGGACCCCAGGGCGCACGTGTAGTTTGTCCCCTGCTCGGGGCAGAGTGCTGTGAGGGGTCTGAGTTGCGGCCAAACCCTACACAGCCGAGACCCTGCCAGACCCTGCGAGCCTGTCTACTAAGCACCCCTGCACCCTGTCCGCTGCTGAGTGCCCTGGGAGCTGCTGCTGAGGGACCCCACACGCTCTCCGTTGCTGAGTGTCTTTGGAAGCTGACCGCTGTCAGTGTCCCTGCACACTGCCACCACTGAGTGTCTCTGCACGCTGACTGCTGCTGCGTGTCCCTGGAAGCTGTCCGTTGCTGAGTGTCCTTGGAAGCTGTCCGTTACTGAGTGTCTCTGGAAGCTGTCCGTTGCTGAGTGTCCCTAGAAGCTGTCCATTGCTGAGTGTCCCTAGAAGCTGTCCATTGCCGAGTGTCCTTGGAAGCTGACCGCTGTGAGTGTCCCTGCACACTGCCGCTACTGAGTGTCTCTGCACGCTGATTGCTACTGCGTGTCCCTGGAAGCTGTCCATTGCTGAGTGTCCCTGGAAGCTGTCCGTTGCCGAGTGTCCCTAGAAGCTGTCCGTTGCTGAGTGTCCCTAGAAGCTGACCGCTGTGAGTGTCCCTGCACACTGCCGCTACTGAGTGTCTCTGCACGCTGACTGCTGCTGCGTGTCCCTGGAAGCTGTCCGTTGCTGCGTGTCCCTGGAAGCTGTCCGTTGCTGAGTGTCCCTAGAAGCTGTCCGTTGCTGAGTGTCCTTGGAAGCTGACCGCTGTGAGTGTCCCTGCACACTGCCGCTACTGAGTGTCTCTGCACGCTGACTGCTGCTGCGTGTCCCTGGGAGCTGTCCATTGCTGAGTGCCCCTGGAAGTTGTTCATTGCTGAGTGTCCCTGGAAGCTGTCCGTTGCTGAGTGTTCCTACAAGCCGCCTGCTGCTGAATGTGTGCAAGCCGCCTACCATGAGTGTCCCTACAAGACGCATGTTGCGGAGTGCCCTGGAGTGCCCTATTATGTGCCCAGACCACCCTTGCCATGAACCGCCCTATTGTGCGCTCAGACCACCCTTGTCATGAACTGCCCCTATTGTGCGCTCAGGCCACCCTTGTCATGACTTGCCCCTATTGTGCGCTCAGACCACCCTTGTCCTGAACTGCCCCTATTGTGCGCTCAGACCACCCTTGTCATGAACTGCCCCTATTGTGCGCTCAGACCACCCTTGTCATGAACTGCCCCTATTGTGCACTCAGACTAACCTTGTTTGAACTGCCCCATAGCATGCCCGGAGTATGGCTACCTGGACTGCCCCTCTGAGTGCTTGCGCCATCGCTACCCGCTGAGTCCCCTTGAGCATGTTGTTGTCCCTAGAAAGCTGTGTGGGAGCTGTGCTGAGGCCAGGCCCCACAATGAAAGTCCCATTGAGTCCCCGTGGAGCTGCTGTTGTCCCTAGAAAGCTGTGTAGGAGCTGTGCTGAGGTAAGGCTCAACAGCCAAAGTGCCGCTGCATCCCCGTGAGCATGTTGTTGTCCCTAGAAAGCTGTGTGGGAGCTGTGCTGAGGTCAGGCCCCAAAGCCAAAGTCCCGTTGAGTCCCCGTGAGGCTGCTGTTGTCCCTAGAAAGCTGTGTGGGAGCTGTGCTGAGGTCAGGCCCCACAGCCAAAGTCCCGCTGCGTCCCCGTGAGCATGTTGTTGTCCCTAGAAAGTTGTGTGGGAGCTGTGCTGAGGCCAGGCCCCAGAGCCAAAGTCCCATTGAGTCCCCATGAGGCTGCTTTTGTCCCTAGAAAACTGTGTGGGAGCTGTGCTGAGGTCAGGCCCCACAGCCAAAGTCATGCTGCGTCCCCATGAGCATGTTGATGTCCCTAGAAAGATGTGTGGCAGCTGTGCTGAGGCCAAGTCCCACAGCCAAAGTCCTGTTGAGTCCCCGTGAGGCTGCTGTTGTCCCTAGAAAGCTGTGTGGGAGCTGTGCTGAGGTCAGGCCCCACAGCCAAAGTCCCGCTGCGTCCCCGTGAGCATATTGTTGTCCCTAGAAAGCTGTGTGAATGCTGTCCTCCGAAGAGTTTGAGGCAGCTCACAATACTTTTAGAGTTCATTATGAACATTTGCAGATGATTCCCGAGAAGCTGAAGAGTAGCCATGGAGGTTACCTTACCCAGAGAAGGAAGTTATCCTGTAAGCAGTCAGCCTCTTCTACCTATCCCTTAAAGGGACTTCTGGTTACCTGGATCCGAGTAATTTGTTACTGGGCATTTGCTGACTACTACCCTGAGGGAGGACCACCTAAGCCTTGACCAGACCGATATTCGATGAGGAAACCTCTGGATGTGATACTTAATGCGTATAACTATTACGCATCTGGTGAGTGCGTAATTCTGCCATTTTTACGGAGCACCACCATCTAGTTTTAACCAGTCACCTGGCACCTTATTAGTCACCTAGACTGTCATTTATATTGAACTTTTACTATCAATTTGTTGTCCAATACTTTTTTGAATAATTTTAGCGCTGCACTGTTTTATCTATTATTTGATACTGTTAATATTCTTGAACATTGTTATATGTAGTATGCCACATTTATGCATTTTAGCACATTAGGATTGCTTTTTATTTTCATGAAATACTAATTTGAGTTGAAAATGAAACTTATGGAAGTACCTTTATTTTATATAGTTCAAAGCTTTAATAAACCCAAAGGAAACATTTATTATATTGCAGTTTACCAATTCTTAGATGTGATGGCTGCATTAGTTTTCTTTTTAAGGCTTTCTTTCCTTTATTTTCTTATTTTTCATATGTTGATCCAACCAGTAAGTCTGTTGTTTTTCAACAAAACAAGCACTCTTCCAAATGTAGTAGTTTAGAGTGATGAGACAAACCATTTACTTCACTGCTTTCCAGGGGCGGACTGACAACTCATGGGGCCCCCGGGCAATAGGGGATCATGGGGCCCCTGTATCCTTGCCCAAACTCAAAAAGAGCCTATGAAAAAGGTACCAGGGGCATCTCATGGGGCCCCCTACTGACCCCGGGCCCTTGGGCAGTGCCCAAGTTTCCAAATGGTCAGTCCGCCCCTGCTGCTTACAATGATCAGCTTTTATTTATTCGTGTAAAACCTTTATCCCAAAAGAAAAAAAACCTGTTGCTGTAATTGCTTGTGTAACTTCAGTGTGAGCTGGACTTTGTCTTCAATTTTGTATTGTATCTAAATCTGTTAATACAGCCCTGGCCAAAAGTTTTGTGAATGACACAAATATTAATTTTCACAAAGTCTGCTGCTTCAGTGTTTTTAGATCTTTTTGTCAGATGTTACTATGGTATACTGAAGTATAATTACAAGCATTCCATAAGCGTAAAAGGCTTTTATTGAATACAGAAACAAAAAGGAAGCTCATGGGATGTCTGTTTGGATACCCAAAGAAGCAAGAAGTGGGGATGGATAATAGCTAAGCACATGGAATAAAACACAAGCGTAGGTATGGGAGACAGGTAAAAGAAAGGCCTGCAGAATGAGTCATTTTAAAATCCAAGGCAGCATTAAGACAATTATCCATATAAAAAAATGTATAAAAGCACAAAGATAAAAAGTGAAAATAAAACCTACATATAATGGTATTAATAATAGGTGACTCTAATCTTAAAGAGACAATATCCTGAATGAGTAGTAGCGTAATATTATTATTACGTTACTTAAAAAAATAATACTTGTCATGCCTTGTTCAGGCACTGTTTGTTATAAGGTGACAGCACTCTAACCCTGTTTCCTCTTTCACATAGGCTTCTGATTGAGACTACAAGTGGTTATTGCAACACACATTACACAGCCAAAATCCAGTGTTCTGTTTTCTTTTCACCGTGGGATAACATTCCATGAGCAATGTCATAGGGTCATTGCTGGAGAGCATGCATGTGGACAAGAAATGACTACAAAGAGCCTGCAGGATAAATAGCAATACTGAGATGCATTGAAGAATGAAAAAAAAAATGGTGAAAACAATTATGTTATTTAAAAAAACATGCCAACTGTCTATAAACAGTAACTCTATTGGCGTTAAAAAAAAATGCAAAAGAAGCCAGGACACAGTAGCGAAGTAAGGGCCCCATGGAATTAGAGTGTATGGTGGATGCGCAGGCATTTGACACACCCAAAAGTGTGTTGGTTATTAAAGCTTCTATTGTATGCATTTCACATGTAGTTCCCCACCACCCTTTCCCTTGAATTTGATCCTATTGAGAGGCTGCTTACCTCAAGAGTGCTGGAGAAATATCTATCTTCTATTTATCTCAGACTCTCCCTTGCCTATGCTTCTAAAATAACTCAAATGTAGCACTCTCCTAGAGTAGAGTAGGCTGCTAGGTAAATTTATTTGGCTTCACTGTAATCAGAGGAGCAGGGGTTGATTAATTAGGGCTGCTCAGTGCCTCACAGGCTTCTGTTCTGCTACTTCCCCGTCTTCTAGAGGATTCTAGAATCATACTGGGAGGAAGAACAGGGCATGCAGCGTGACTATGTATGGAACCCCAGCCAATCCCTCGGAAGGTGTGAGAGAGCCCAAAAATAGTCTGAGGCCTGAGCAGCAGGGTGCAGAGTTCCGGAGTCCAGTCCTGATGGAGGATACCCCTGTGAAGGGGGGGCCCTGGGGTAGATTTCTACAAGAAGCCATTAGGGAAACAACAAGGTCCCAGCTAGGCTTAGCTGGAGGGCCTATTCGCAAGCTTGAATCCAGAAACTACGTTGGGTTTTGTGACGCTCACTGGAGAGAGACCAGGAGGAAGTTGGAGGGAAAGAGCCAAGCTGTCCTATGATGGTGTGAGTCTTCATCTCTCTCACTAGTAAGAGCCTGGTGGATATCGGCAGGAAGCAACCGATGAACCTGTGGCTATGCGCTTTAGTGACTCTAGTGCTGAAGACTTAGAATCTGTGTGTAGCTTTTAAACTCTGGAAGGAGTATTTGTCACCATCAACATAGAGATCCTATGAGACGTTCTGTTTTTAAACTGTGCAGCAAGAAAGTTGAGGAGTTCTCAAGTTATTCAGTTCTTCAGTTTATTGAGATATCCCATGCTCCCTCTCCCTATCGAAGTTCACTGTACCCAATAAAAAGACATGGGACTGCATTCACAAGTGGCTCCTGTAGGGGTGCACTACACATACCTATCAGAAATAGAAGAATGACCTGCTAGACCTGGAGGAAGATGACTGATTATGTGCATAATTATTTCACAAATATGGTCTTGGCCAAGGATAGAGTCTCGCAACTGAAGTTCCTACACAGGGCTTATAAAACATCCCAAAGTTTGGCTTATATTTACCCCTTTGCCAGACCTTCCTGCCCACGCTGTCATTCAGCGGAAGGCTCATTCCTCCACATGCTATGGACCTTTCCTAATATTCACCCCTTCTGGACTGAGGTAGTGACAGACATTCATTGTGTATATGACCTTACTCTTGGATAAGACAATAAGGTGTTGCTATTGGGCATTTTTTATGTTCATTTTCTATGCTATTTTATGCCGGCAGAGAAATTCATATACATTGGAAGTCACCTATTCCTGCCCTCACAGTATTGGCACTTCTTGGACTTTGCATGCTGCAATGGTTTTTATACTGTTGACTCGCCTAATAAAAATGTTTTACTTATAAAAACAAAAAGATTCTGCTGGGGGTTTTGCTATGCAAAAGAGCAGTGGTATACGCAAGTATAAATAGTTTTCATTTGTAGATTTTTATTTTTAATTTATTTTTTGTAAAAGGTGACAGAGTTTCTTCACCAAATTAAATGACGTTGAGTTAGGGTTTACATCTACTTCACGCTTTCTGGGTGACTTAGGTATCTTATTAGTTCTTTAGCAATTCTATTTGAACTGAAATGATGACATTTCTATTTTTTTTTACTTGCACATTTTGCAGTGCCTAGAAACTTTTGCTTTGTTCTGAAGCTCTGGATAAGAGCACATAAAACATTATAAACCTACCTGAAATCTGGAGATTGAAATGGAAGCTTCAGAAGCAGCTCTTACAGCTATTGGAATCATTTTGAGTGCGGAGGTCATTGAGTTGAATACAGTTACGACAGTGAATGCCTGTAGAAATTACTCAAACATTAAAGGACAATTAAATTGTAATGGCCATATCACAAACATCCTAAGTGCAGATTTAATCATTTGATTTGCCTCTCAGTCACCCATAATTATACCAGGGGGAGTGCTTGCAAATTCCATTCATATAGTGTGAAAATATGACAATAATACTTATTGTATAAGTTCAATTAACATAAATAGCGTATAGCGAAGGAAGATGTGTTCTCAATGCGTTTCGCTGTCCACTTCCTTAGGAGAAAGAGGCAATCTGGATCATAAGATATAATATGTAAAAATGTTTAAAATGTAATATAATTGATTAAAATCCATTAAAGAATGCTATGAGCAAGTAATTAATTGGCTTCTTGCACAGTAGAGTAAGGATAGGCTATAGAAGGGCTACTTTGATGCAGTTGGCCAGCTTAGACATGTACAACGTATTACAATTTATATTTGAACCAAGAATCCCTGTTTTTATACAAAGTGTGAAGGGTCTATAGCAGTGTGCACAGTGTTAGCTGAGAATTCTGTGTGTTAGCACATGGGCTCACCCCTCTAGCATCTCTTATGTTATATACTGCATGTAAGCTATCTGGATTTTATCAAAGAAAATCATAACTCAATGGCACAGTGTAGGCCAGTGATCAGCCCTGTGTCTGTATCTCTTCTCCAACTGTTTCAGTTTAACCAATATTGGCACTATTTATCCATTAAAGCATACTATAAACAAGGAAGAATTTGAAACAGAAGAGTAGGGAATTACTAAAAATGGGTAATTTTGACACAGATGGCCAGCTTGAACATTTATTGCAAGATATTGAACCATTAATTTTTATGCAAACATTTGCTGGATGTATGTAAGGGTGTATAGCAGTGTGGAGATGGTAATTGAAAACATTTTCATATCATTAACTCCAAAATATAAATTGACATACTGTACTCATGTCAATCTACCATTGCCACATTTCTTACCTGTGGTGCTGTCAGATCATATCCAAGGGCCATGTGTAATATAAATGTGCATACACTAGCAACCACAACCACACTGGCGCTATTCCTGTGGTGACACTCTGCACATACCCTGCCTTCTCCAAAAAGGATTTCTCTGCATTTCTGATAGCTAAAAAGGCAAGATAGCGATGAAGTAATAAGGGAAATAAAAAAAATATATTTTTAAAGAATTGTCATTACAGAGGAGGCTGTAATTTTTAATGCAGCAACTTTTTCTTTTCTACAGCATGGAGGATGCTTTTCTGAAACTCTGTGCCTGATGTAAATGATGATATCTTCATATTTGCATATACTGGCTTATTTAAATCACCAGTTGAGCAAAAAGTGATATTTCACATTTATATAGATACTGCACTCTTGAACAATCAACCTGCTGCTTACAACTCTTGGTGTGATATCTGCATGGCAGTTCCCATTTCCACATACCTTCCCAGCCATTGTAAAGGGTTCTCACTGTTCCTTCTAGATTGTTAATTTATTTTATGCTATGGGGATTGCAACAAGAGGTTTAGGAACCCTGCCAAATTTGGAGCAAACACCCAGGTCCGAAGCAGGAGCAGAGCCGACAAGAAGATCTCATCATGTTTTTAAGAGAGTGAGACTCCAGTCCAATCTGAACAATCACTTTGGGTCAATTGACCGTTTAATAAAGAAGTGTAAAATGTAATGACTTGTAATGCTTAATGCTCACTAATCAACAGGAATACCTTTTTTACATACCTGACAACAGTTAGCTGGGATCTGATTTCCTGGTGTAGGTCACTATTGGCCTTATTGGTTTATTTTGCAAAGTAACTGAACTTTTTATCATATATATATATATATATATATATATATATATATATATATAGTGCCTTGAAAAAGTAAAACGTATTCATGCCTCTTGAAATTTTGTCATGTTACAACCAAAAACGTAACTGTATTTTATTGGGATTTTATGTGATAGACCAACACAAAGTGGCACATAGTTGTGAAGTGGAAGGAAAATGATTAATGGTTTTCAAAATTTTCTACAAATAAATATCTTAAAAGTGTGGCATGCATTTGTATTCAGCCCTTTTTGGGTATGTCTCTACCAGCTTTGCACTAGAGAATGAAATTTTTTTCCTATTCTTCTTTGCAAAATAGCTCAAGCTCTGTCATATTAGATGGAGAGCATCTGTGAATAGCAATTTTCAAGTCTTGCCACAGATTCTCAATTGGATTTAGGTCTGGACTTTAACTGGGCCATTTTAACACATGAATATGCTTTGATCCAAACCATCCCATTGTAGCTCTGGCTGTATGTTTCAGGTTGTTGTCCTGCTGGAAGGTGAACCTCCGCCCTAGTCTCAAGTCTTTTGCAGACTCTAACAGGTTTTCTTCTAACATTGCCCTGTATTTGGCTCCATCCATCTTTCCATCAACTATGACCAGCTTCCCTCTCCCTGCTGAAGAAAAGCATCCCCGCAACATGATGCTGGAACTACCATGTTTCACAGTGGGGGTTCAGAGTGATGTGCAGTGTTAGTTTTCCGCTACACATAGTGATTTGCTTTTAGGCCAAAAAGTTCAATTTTGATCTCATCTATCCCAGAGCACCTTCTTCCACATGTTTGTTGTGTCCCCCCATGGCTTCCCGCAAACTGGACTTCTTATGGCTTTCTTTCAACAATGTATATATATGTTTATTGAAATATATTTTGAAAATTGTAGTATTTAAAATATATGGCAATATATTTGGGAAGAATATTTTTAAAATATATTTCAAATATATTTTTCTTCCATGTGGGCACTTTGTGTTGGTCTATCACATAAAATCCCAATAAAATACATTTACGTTTTTTCGGTTGTAACATGACAAAATGTGGAAAATTTCAAGGGGTATGAATACTTTTTCAAGGCAATATATATATATATATATATATATATATACATACATACATACATACACACACACACCTATATATACACATACACACACAATTTTAGTTTTTTTTCAGGTATTTACCAAAACATATTCAAGCTATAGTTATATAATGTATATGGCTGAAAGTGCACACTCTCAGGTTTTATTTGAAGGTATGTACATCCAAATTGGAGGAAGGGTTTAGGAATTACAGCTCTTAAGAGTAGCCATCCCCCCTTTTTCAAGGGACCAAAAGTTTTGGTGAATACCTGAAAAATCTAAAATTGTGCCTTTGTCCAAATATATATGGACCTAACTGTATATACACCACTACATAAAACAATTAGTTAACACCAATATTTTTGCCTGGCAATAAGAATTAAAATGCACCCACCTTGAATATTACGCATGAAAGTGTTTTCCCATGCATACATCTTAATAAAGCGAATGCTGGTTAAAATTTCATTCATAGCTCTCACTCTCTGATCTGTGATTCTGATACACTTTTTCCTAAAGTAAGCTGTCAATTTTGAGGCCAACATCTAGAGGAAGGAAAAGGCATTTTAATGCATAAACTGCAATTACATGAAGAGGACAACAGATCAACTTTTTATAAAATTGTGTTTTTAAACACAAAAATATTATGGAAAATAAAATTAACATTTACCAGAATGTTAATTTTAGAGTTCACACACACCTCACAACAATGAAAAAATAGAAAACATTAGAACAGTATCCATATTTTATTAAAAATGCCAAAAATACCAATCATTGAGAAAACCAATAAGACGTTTTATGTTTGTATTATACAGGAGATCCCACTGTGGGGTCAAATGACAATAAGCAGGTGGCAGAGAACTGTCCCCATACCTCAGTAGATTAAATTCAGACAGCTGTCTCTGAGGTGACCTTGTCACAAGCTGGCAATGGGATGGGATTGTACTATTTCTACCAACACTGTTTCCAGAAACAAAAGGCAGACATTGGTAAACCATTATTTATGTAATACATGCATCAACTAAACCATACATCTTGTCAAGTGTTCTCCATAAAAATACCTATAAATGGCCTATAATGCATTCATCAATAATAATTAAAGAATACTGAACTTGTTATTACTTTTTAGTTACAATATTAAGCTATATAATGCCTTTATAATTAATAAATAATGTATTTTTGGTGGCATTGTACTCCAATTTGAATTTGTTACATTACCATCATGAAACCATGCATGATGGCTTTTTAAAGTTTTAAACTTTTTGATATGCAGTATATAGAGGAAAGTCCATCTTACCATTAATGGATAAAACACAATGAATGCAGCAGAACCTATCAATGCTGTTGGTCCAAGGAACATCACAGTGTATAGTAGTCCCATGAGAGCAATGAAAGGACCAGCAGCTAACATACAGCCTATGGAGGCCGCTTCATAAAGTCGATGACCATCACTAGAGCACATATTAATAAGCTGCAAGATAAAATACACAACTCTTTAAACAAATGATAAAATACACCATATAAAGGATACAAGACAATGACATTGTGAGTACAATGTAATCAGGCCATCACAATCCGCCCACAAAGCCATTCTTATTATGTGCATTGCTTGTTCCTATATGATTTTGAGTGTTTGTGGCTACTTATGACCCCTGCCTACCCCAGGCAGGTGTGGAGGTCATTTGAGTCTAAAGCTTGGAACTACGTAACACTCTTAGCAGGAGTGTTTGTGACTACTTATGACCCCTGTCTGCCCTAGGCAGGTGTGGAGGTCATCTGAGTCTAAAGCCTGGAACTGTGTAACACTCTTAGCAGGAGAGTTTGTGGCTACTTATGACCCCTTCCTGCCCTAGGCAGGTGTGGAGGTCTTCTGAGTCAAACGCCTGTGTCAGGGCAGGACTGTGGAATGGACAGGTAGGCTTAGTGGCAGGGTAACGCACTGACTGATGACAACCACCACCAACAGACCGAAGTTCCTCAGGGCGCGGAGTCTAAGTCCCAGGCTGACCTTCACCAGGGCCCCTGATGGTGGGGATGGACTTGACACAGCCAGGAACCAGGTCACGGCCCCCGAGACACCCTGGCTGCGGTAATGGATGCCGCCAATGGCATGTAGCTGGTAGGAATGACAATAGCGTAGTCAGGCAGGCCGGGTCGACAACAACGGGACAAAACGGTACAGAACAGTAGACAAGAATCACAGGTCACGGGCCGGGTTCAGCAACGGAAGGTCAGATCAAAGGAAAACACAGAGAATGGTCTAGTCACAAGCCAAGTCAGATACCAGAAGAGTCACGAGAGTATACACAGAGCTGTAACAACAAAAAGACACAAGACACAAGTGCAAAGAGCATGTGCGGATCACAGGCTTATATGTACTCAGCCACACCCCTCTGGGGGATGGACTTCAGAGACCTGAAGGCATAAAAGACTCCCACCATGCTCTGCAGAAACCCAAGATGGACGCCAGTACATGAAGCCGCACAATCTCTGGGAAAAGGTAGGACCTTGACAGCCTGGAACTACATAACACTCTTAGCAAGAGTGTTTGTGGCCACTTATGACCCCTGCCTGCCATAGGCAGGTATGGGGGTCATCTGACTCTAAAGCCTAGAACTACATAATATTTCTTAGCAGGAGTTCAACCAGCAACAGGCATGTATATCCCAAATATGCAGCAATAAAATATCAAATAGTTTAAATGTTTGTTATGTTATCACTTTGATTTAGTAAGGTATCACATCAAACATAGCATATTCTTGAATATTCAGAAGCCTCCAAATACAGTATTTAACAGAGATGAACAGGGTACAGTAAACCAGCTATATCCAGTCTTAGGACTGGACCCATCCAGAATAGACTGGTCATATCTAGAAGAGGCTGGACCCATTGTATCACCTCTTTAACAGTGAGTATTCCCCAGAAGGCGCTTTTAACACAGTTGTAAACTATTTTAGCTTTATGGACAACAAGCCCTGGAAAAGAAACACATAGACATGACTATCCCTCTCAAGAGCAATTTAGCTAAAAGCACATAAAATCATTTCAGGTCTACTAGCATATTTAAAAAGATAATACAAACAGTATTGGAGTGCAGTAACCCATAGCAATCAATCAGATTATGCTTTTCTTTCTTTGAATGCAAAACACTAAAATCTGACTATTATTGTACACAGTCTTTGCACTATTAATTCAAGCCTTTTGCATTAAAAGCTGCATATTGTTTTGAATGTAAATAGAAAAAAATATATTCCCTTATTTCTATTGGGGCAACAGCACACAGTTCCTTGATTCTCCCAAATTTAGAATTTGAAATCTAATTTTTTGCATACCAATGACCAGCTTCAGAAAGAGATCCTCTTACGTTAAATATTTTACACACCATTTCCCCTCAAAACATTCGGAAGCAAATGCCAAAGTGGTGTTTCCATGAAGGCGTTTAAAGGTTCCCTCCCAGAAAGAGTGATATTTAGAGAACCATAAGTCTCTTGAGTACAAAGTCCATTAGTATTTCATCACAAAACAGTAGCTAACTGTCTCCAAGCACACTAGCCAGTGAATTTACCTCTCCAGTTGTTACATCTTTTGTTTCTTTAAGTCTCAGGATCTTTCTAAAAGCCAAGGCTAAAACTGCTCCCCTCAGTCGAATTCAGTTCTGTAGTTCATTGCCCAGCTCATTGCAAAAGACCAAGACCTAAGGAGCTCTGCTGCAAAAATACCAAAGGAAAGAAGCAATCCATAAAGAAGATTGGATTCCATTGCTTCTGAGTACTCAAGTAGTGCTCTGATGAAGATTGCCTTTAAAACAAGCAGAAGCACATTTAAAAAAAAAATAAATAAAGTGATTAATATACAGTATATATTTTTTCTCATCTCCTTTTTAAATAGAGTCCATAGCTGGGTCTGCTCAGTAATGTGTAATTTCAACATGCACAAATGTCTGTCCTACCTATTTATTTGTGTGGCACAAAACTACTACTTTTCTTTAAACAAGGCTTAGAATCTGAAGATCAACATTAATGTGTGTTTCAGCACTAAAGTCATATTTTAATTTCCAGACAGGAAAAGGTCTAGTGTACAGAACCAAAAAATAATACCTTGTCCTCAAGTTAACATTGGTAGTAGCATATTGTCAGATTGTTAAAAAAGAACACTAAGACACAAATTAATGCAACTCTGTAAACATTAATTCATCATTAAATGTGTTTTTTTTAAATGAAAGCAGTGTCTGCCTGTACCTTTCATGCAATAACAATTAATTAGGTATATAAACAGGAACTTACAGGGCCAATAAAGTTTGCTATCATTGTGATAATCAGACACAAGAAAGCCAACACGGATCTAGTTTGACAAAACCGCCATACCACCTTTCTCAGGGATGCTTTTTTCTTCCCACATTTCTTCAGCTCTGCTTCCCAAAGACGATGTAACCTGTCATTGAGAAGAATGCAGAAACAAGTGGAACCAATAAGTCTGCAATGTTACACAAACAATAACAAACGAACACATATATGGTGCATTCTATGAGTATAGTATAATGCTTTTTTGAATAGGGAAAAGAGAGGATTAGAAATGTAATATCACTACTCTATAACAATTCCAGTACTCCATAAACTTTAATAATGGCATGAACTGATACTAAAAGCACTTGATTGTTTTATATTCTTTCTGCCATAACCACCACCCCCTTGGCCATTTAGACTGTAAACACATATGGACTGAGCTCTAACTTCTGTTGTATTTTCTTTTGCTGCACATGGTTTGCAATGGAATATTAAATTATCATTTTCTGATGTTTTTCTTTACCTCATTAGTGACATTTTACAAAGCAGTAATGGTGCTATATTATTTATAAATAATTACAATCATTTATATGGAATTTCAAAGCTGTTTTAAAACCTATTTGAACTTTAATTATAAATTAGCTTAATACATTCCAGGTGCATCGAAACAAAGGTGATTCTTAAGCCTAAATGCCTAAAAAAACCCTGTCCCATGAGAATATTGAGTAGATTAAGACTCGTGCTCTCTGTGTGAAAACAGTAGTCTATTTTTAGAGGTACCCCTTCCTGAGTCAGACTTGTAGCATCTCTGCTGAAAGAACAAAAGTGCTATTTTGTTCTCCCAAGGGAAGGGGGGGTTACGGTCATCTTCAAGCTATGGCCATCAGCAGTAATCGAATGCAAAAAAATCTTCCAGGCTGCTTGTGCAAGCAGTATGCCCATGCAGGGATCGAATCTTGACCAGTCCCTGCTCTACTGGCCAAATTTCAATAAATGTATGGTCGGCTTAAGACTTTACATATAATTTACTTTGATGCGCTAATGGTAACACAAGCTATGCAGTTTTAGCCTTCAGTCCAAAGATTTCAGATTTCTGTATTGGTACCTCAATTATGGTTGACCTGGCCAACTGGCACCTACACATACATCTGTGATATGATCTCTGGATTCTAAAGTAAAGGAAACAAAGAGGTGTTGCAATTTAAGATTTCTAAACTATAAATTAATAATGGAATGATCATTTCCTTTTTTAAATGTTTCACCTGAGAATGAAAACACAAGCACTGAACAGTTCAATTTATATGTTCTGTGACTTTTATTCCATTTTTAAAACAGTATGTGACTTGTGAGAGTTCATAAGCACAAAAACTGTTATTTTATACTAAGCATTACTGGAATATTGTGAGTCTAAACAGAGCTGAGATATTTTTGTAGCACCACTGCAAAGACAACTATGTTTTGGGACTGTTGGTATAAAAGAATAGTACAGAATGGTAGCTCTGAGCTAAATATGTTTTCCTATGTTAAAAGAACAGAAGGGAGAACAGTAGATATAACAACAATAAGCCAGAAGAATTAGCAGTGAAAAAATTCGGATCTATTTGAAGTGGGTCATTTTGTTAAGTTTACCAGTAAGCAAGTAAGACTGCTAAAAGTGTAAATACATTGAATAAAATTAAATAGGGATTAGAAATATTTTAATATAGTGTTTATAATAAGAATTTCTGTAATAAACCACGCTAACCAATTGGATTACAGAAAGTTAATTGAATTTTAAAGTGCACAGTTGCAAAGTGCTAGACTATGCACATTTAACTATTACATATTCTTAAAAATCAGTAAAAGAGCTTTCAAACAAGTACCAGTTCACCTTTCTAGGTGCTTGTAATGTGAAGTTATTCATTCTCAATCAGTAATTTCTAACAGCGTAGAAATACCTTTTGTGTGTTTACATTAGAGGTCTGGCAGGCTACCAATATTCTACTCTTTGCAGAAAAAGCAAACATTTCTGTGCCTCTGCTGTGAACTTTGAAAATTAATTTCCCAAAAATATTCATCTATACAGGTGATTGCCAAGATCAAAAACTATAATTGTTTGTGGTAAACTATACAAATGATATTATTTCTTTCTACTGTTGGATTTAACCTCTTCTTAACAGTAACCCTTCTTAACAGTAACCTTATCCCTATCCTAATGCTATATAACCCACTGAAGTGAATGTCCTACAAATGATGTGTTTGTAATCAGTTTAAAGTGTGAAAGGGCTGTAAGTTAATGTTAATTTTTTATTTCTGTATGTGCACTAATTTGAGAGATTTTTCTTCACTTCCTGCCCCAGTGACCACACAGGAAGTGATTAGAATCTACCTTGTGGGGACACGGACAGAAGTAGAACCCTAACAGAGGTTCTAAACTCTATCCCTACTCCACTAAAAAAGTACTTTTTTTCAACTCAAGAAAGGTTTTATTGAACAGAAAAAGACAAGTAAAAACAAATACAGCAGTTCCAGAGCAGATCAGCTTCTATAGTCAAGATCAGGCAATGATACAGACTGCACACAACAGAGACCAGCAAGTATATCAGAGATCATTGTTAGAAGTATATCAGAAATCATACCAACGGCACAATAAATAAAAGACATATACAACAGAGGTAACTTCCTTAGTTTTCCAGCCACTTGAGTAAATTCAATAACCAGTGGAATATACATTAACCCATCAGGAGCCTAGCCATGACTAGATCAAGCGGGCTCAAACTCCGGTTGTCCAACTATGGGCCCCAAATGTTCTCATATTTTTGAGGACATCCCCTGTGTTGGTATATGTACTTCTCCAACCTGAGAGTTTCTCCCATACACTGTAACCATTCTTTATGGGAAGGGGGATCAAGTGATTTCCAATGCCATAGAATGACTCTACGGGCTTTAAAAAAGGGCTCTAGCCACTGTTTCTCGAGTGAGGGCTGGTAGCTGGAGGTCATTTAGTATGCCCAATAGTCAAAGTTTAGGGTTGAGTGGAATAGAAATCTGAAAAGGGGCATTTACTGTATTCACTACCCCTGCTTAGTATATGTGCACTTTGGGGGAAACGCCATAGTAGATGAATTAGGTCGCCGTGGTCTCGGCTGCATTTACTATAAGTAGGTTTGGTTAGGAGACCCACCCTGTGCAGCCTAGTCGGAGTGTAGTGTGCCCTATGAACTATGTACAATTACACAAGCTTTTGTGTCACATTAAGAGAGTAGTGGCACTGCTTGAAGAGCATCCTCCCACTGGTCCTCTATAAAAGGGTCAAGGTTTATCTCTCCACCATCAAGGGAAATGACTTCAGAAAGTCCACCTGCAGAATGGTGTAGCAGCAGGAGATGAAACCTTTGGTAAAGGCTGCATTGGACATCATGTTAAACACTGGAGTGGGTGATTGGTTCCAAACCACAGAAGCACCCTACAACATATTTTAGTTGACTATAATAGAAGTATATAGACACTGGCAATGAGAACTTATCAAGAAAGTACTTTAATTCCTGTTATTTCCTTTGGAGAGAATTCCCTTGCTTAATGTCCCTGTTACCACACAAGAATAGGGAAATCTCCACAGGCTGCAATGAAAACCTGACAGATGCCGTAACTCTTTCTGAATCTGTCGAAAACAAGAGTTTTGTTTGTAGTTGGGTTTTTAAATTGTTCTGTCTCATGAGATGAATATTGCCTGTGTAGGATATCAAGTATTAAAATGTTACTAAACCCATAACAGTGAAAGCAGCCTGTGTGTGCAGTAAAGCATGCTTGTTATACTCACTGTGGAACCTAAGGGGTTAATTCTCCACATTATGTAAAAAGGATGTTTGATCCTCTCTTCTCTGATCCTCTCCTTCTTCCATTGTCCCCTAAATATCTCCTTATAGAACATAAGTTTGGAGTCACTCTGTACATGCTCATTTTGGTGTGTATTGCTAGAGAGGTTTTTTTTTTTCTGGGAGGGTGCATGTGATCAGCACAGGGCCAAGGGGTCCTGCATCTTCCTAGAGGAGAATGAAAACTCCTCCTACAAGCTTTAACCAGTGCTTGGCTGGATACTGATAGAGGTCAGAAAACTGCTCTAATTGCTGATGAGAAAAGGTATTTAGCAGTTTATATTTACTAAAATAATTGCACTTCCATGTTCTGTGTATTGTGGGAGACTAGGTATAGTGAATGCAGGTTCCGGGGTTTAATAACACTTTAAGCTGCATATTATTATATTATTATACAGTATTTATAATGGATACTATATTGACTTCATCGGTACCAACATCCAACAAAGGCGGTCCTTTACAATTGATACCTACAATCTACTCAATTTCACCTAGAAAAAAACAAACATTCTCAACATCTTAATCCTTACTAATAGCCATCATGCATATACATGCAGCATATGTTATGCAAAAAGGAAAAATGAGTTGTAAATTAGCTCCATAATCCAACTAAACAGTGTGGAATAAGGAGGAAGAGGATTAATCATGTTAGACGCTCTATGAACATAATACTGTTTATTGAAGAGGGGAATAGTTTACCTTTGGCAGTTCTGTTCTGCAGAATCATGAGAAGGAAGATCCCAGAGATCACTGATATTAAGTTCTGAGAGCTGGTAAGCCTTCCTTGCAAGGGGTGTGATCCAGTTTAAAGTCATAAAGGAAAATAAACCAGCATTATCTATAGGATGACGATGTCTATAAATAAATTACAAAACACTGATTTAGCTTCAATTCTTAACATGACCTTTGTTACAAACAAAGTATAGGACACATTAAAACTGTCAAAACATGTCAATTGTATACAATGGATGGCTTCCTGTCATTCCATCCATTGTATACAATTATGTGACAGGTCAAAAGCAGTCACATGATACAGACAGGGCCAACCACAGCCCATCTGTATCATATGATGAGCTTTGCCCAATCACAGCTAATCACAACAAAAGACTGAATGAATTAGTTTCATTCAGTAACAATGATTGCAAATATCAATGAAATACATTGGAATTTTTTGGTATTAGTATTCATAATGTGTTGCCCAGAGTAGTTCAATGTTACTATGGTAACATTGTATTGCATTGGTAACAGTGTGTTGAAAAAAAAAAATAGTAAAAAAAAATAAAAAATAATGTCATAAAAAAATAGAACATTTTGAAAAAAAATTACAAATTAAATGATTTTTTTTTTTTTACATACTGTCACCAGTCAGTGTCTTATCACCTCCACACCAGTTATATAATAACACTGTACTGGACAGGTGACAATATGTAAAAAAAAATTGTGATTTTTTTTTTTTTAATTTCTGCATGTTCCAAAAAATTGTAACAAAAATTACAACCTCCAAAAAACTCATCATGTCTCTTACTAAAATACCTTGAACTGCCTATTTTCCAAAAATGGGTGATTTGGGGGGTATTTATACTATCCTGGCGTTTTCAGTCTCAAGAAATTATATGGGCTGTCAGCACATCAGGATTGATCAATTGTCAGATATATATATATACCTTGGTTTGTGGACTCTATAACTTTCCTACAGATTAAATAATATACACTAATTTGGGGTATTTTCACCAAAGAAATGTAGCAGGATACATTTTGACCTAAATTTATGAAGAAATTTTATTTATATGCAAGATTTTATAACAGAAATGAAGAAAAATGCATTTTTTTTTTCAAAAGTTTTTTTTTAAAAAAAAAACTCAGCGGTGGTTAAATACCACCAAAAGAAAGCTCTATTTGTGTGAAAAAAATAATAACAAGTTTTTTCATATGGGTACAGTGTTACATGACCGCGCAATTGTCATTCAAAGCGCGACAGCGCTGAAAGCTGAAAATTAGGTTTTTTCTGTGTTGCAGTGCTTTTTGCAGTGCATTTCACAATTTAGCATGTGTGCTTTTGGCGCTTATTTTGATGCGTTTTGCGTTTTTTGAATGTTTTTTTTCTGCCCAACTTGCTGCTGGGTAGATTAAAAAAATGCAGATTAAGGCTCCATTCACACTAGAGTGTTTCAAATCATGGACAGAATTGCGGCAATTCTGAAAAACGCACTGTGAAAATGCTTAATCGCATGTTCAGGTGCCATTAATTTCAATGGCACCTGAAAATGTGGGCCGTTTTTGCTGCAATCTTGGCGCATTTTTCTGCACAGCAAACTTGGAGCGAGCGTGCAAACAAAATTGTGGGACGCGCGACACCGAAAAACGGTTCAAACCTTTTTTGGGCATCACAAAATCGTAGCAAAAATAATGCACTGCCAAAAGTACTGCAAAATGGACAAAATGCAAATTGCATTGGTGTGAACCAGGCTTGAATTGCATTGAAAACTCGCATGATGTGGTTTTGATGCGTTTTTTGAGTCACATGACCTATGAAAAGCGCACCCTAAATATGGCAAAATCCTGGGTAAAATCGCAGCAAAATCTCTGGTAAAATGGTGGGAAAATCGCAGGTAAAATCACAGCAAAATTGTGGCAAAATGCTGGGCAAAATTGAGGTGCACTTCAGGGTAAAATCACTGCAAAATCGTGGGTAAAATCGCAGCAAAACTGTGTAAAAATTCCAGGAAAAATTGTGGGTAAAATTGCAGCAAAATCACAGGTAAATGTGGGGCACAATCATGGGTAAAAATGAGGCAAAAATCACAGATAAAAAGAGAGAAAAACAATATTTTTTGACTTTTTGCTATTAAACTTGTCCAGTAAAAAAATTTTAAAAATCAAATTTCGACATAAATTTAGGCCAAAATGTATTCTGCTACATGTCTTTGCTAAAAAAAATCCCAATATGTGCAAATTAATTGGCATATGTGAAAGTTATAGCGTTTACAAATGGTGGCATATATACTGGAATTTTTTTTTACTAATAATGGTGGTGAACAGCAACTTATACCAGGACTGCGGCGGACATTCTGACACTGGGGGGAACTGACTTGGTGTCACTGACATCCCCAGTGACACCAATACAGTGATCAGTATTAAAAAAAGCAATGACACTGTACTAATGGCACTGGGCAGGAAGGGATTAACATGAGTGGTGATCAAAAGGTTTACTGTGTGCAGGGAGTGTTTTACTAGGGGGCCGTGTCTGTGTGCTTCACTGTAATCACACTGCTCTGGATGGCTGTGCTGTGCACAGCCATCCAGAACAGTGTACCTGAGCTGACAGGGAGGAGAACTGTTAGTAAACAAAACGGTCCTTTGCTCAGTAATCACTGGGCGCCGGCTGGTAATCACCAACTGGGACCCGGTGATTGACAGCTGTGTGCGCGAATGGCGGCACAGGCAGGGTGCATGGGCAGCTCACATGCGCCCCCTACCCAGAAATGCAAAATCACATCTAAAGACGTGATTTTGCGCACACCTGCTGCCCTGTAGCAGTATATCTGCTATAGGGCAGTGGGACAGTGATTAATTCCAGCAGACAACAGTGGATAAGCAATCTAATTCTGGGCATGTGGTCATATATATTCTGGGAATGAAAACAGAATGTCAGGGCAATCAGTTCATATTCTGTTGGCACTGGATGGTGCAATTTGAGGATAGCAGTGGCAGCTGGGGAATGTGTTTTCTGTTGAAGTGGACGAGTATACTTTCATCATGTACAGGCCTAGTGTACCCACTCACACTCACTGCAATACCCAAAGGTTGATGGGAAGTGTAGTTTCCTGAGAGCAGAGGATATGATGTAATCTCTGCTGTTACACCTCCTCCTTGACAGAGCAGATGCTGTTATAGTTTGAATTACAGAGATTACTTCCTTAGGCTTTCCTCTTCAATGGTAAACAAATTCACAAATGTATTAACTGTTTAATGTTTTGTGTAGGGGGTGTACTAATGGGTGATTTGTTTGCCTATCCCGGAGTTCTATTTTTAAAGTTAAAACCACTGTAAATTCTGTTGCCATCTATTCCACCTTGGGGAGATGTACCTGTATTTCTTGTCCTGTAAAAAGTGAGCAAAAAAAATCTCTCCAGAGTGAGAGTACCCTCTAAGAGCTCATTCAAACAAGCAGCCATTGGAAGTTAATGTTAGGGGGTTGAGCCATGGTTTCACCACTCCATCCTCAACCAACTATCTTAACTAGGGCATGCAGCCACTAAGGGCTGTACACATGCCACAGCCACAAAGCCTTGTTTCACAGTTGTGGAAAAGGTTTGCTGGCATGTCATTTTCGGCCATTGGTTTCGCTGCCAAACAGGACAAAAGTAAATGGGGCTGCAACTGCCCTGCAATGCATTCGGTGGCATCGTGATGGTGCGTCATCTTGAGGGTTAAAAGAGGCAGTGAGGAGGTGGCCCAAGTGTACAACTCTGCTTAATATATTCACAATTTACTTCTATAGGAAGTTTTTAGTTGTTTTATTGAGCCACTGGACACATGTTCTTAGATCAGAAAGGTGCACTCACTCTCATCCAAGACATTTTATATAATGGAAAGCTGTGCTCATCAAGCTGCTCTTCAAATTATGTATTTATAATACCAAGTGGAAAAAGGAACTAGCATGTGCTAATGTTGATTCTTTTCCCAGATATTATAAATAATCATACCGCACAGAAGTTTTGTGAGTGTGGCTTTCCATGATATAAGCTGTCTGGCAGAGCTTCTGTAGAGTTATTTATTTATTTCAGGTACTTATATAGCACTGTCAATTTACGCAGCGCTTTACATATATATTGTACATTCACATCAGTCCCTAACCCTCAAGGGGTGTACAATCTAAGTTCCCAGCTCACATTCAAACATACACATACTAGGAACAATTTGGACAGGATCCAATTAACCTATCAGCATGTCTTTGGAGTGTGGGAGGAAACTAGAGTACCAGGAGGAAACCCACAAAAGCAGAACATGCAAACTCCAGGCAGGTGGTGCTGTGGTTGGGATTCAAACCAATGACCCTAGTACTGCTAGGTGGAAGTGCTAACCATTTAGCCACCATGCTGTCCTAAGTTCATTGAACAACTAAACCGGTGTAGGAAGGCCACTCATGTTTAATGACTTGCCCCTGGACGGTTTTACCCCCCTTCCTGACCAGGCCATTTGTTTGCCATTCAGCACTGCGCTATTTTAATTGACATTTGTGCAGTCATCCAACACAAATGAAATTTGTATGTTTTTTTTCACACAAATAGAGCTTTCCTTTGGTGGTATTTGATAACTGTATTTTTTTTTTTTTTTATATATATAATGAAAGAAGACCAAAAATTTTGGAAAACAAAACAATATTTTTTACCTTCCGTAAAAAAACATATCCCAAAAAATTTAAAAATCGAATTTCTTCATAAATTTAGGCAAAAATATATTCTACTACATATATTTGGTTAAAAAAAATTCCCAATTAGCATATATTAATTGGTTTGCATGAAAGTTACAGAGTCTACCAACTTTGATATATATACTGGAATTTTTCTTTATTTTTTTACTAGTAATGGAGGCGATGAGCGACTTATAGCGGGACTGTGATAGTACGGCGGGCAATCTGACACTAACTGACACATTGTGGCAACTAATTGCAACTGACATCTCCAGTGACACAAATACAGTGATCAGTGCTAATAATATACACTTGCACAGAGCGCAGCCATGGAAATGCAGAGCTTAGGTAGTCTTCAATCTCCCGTATATTTTATGTACAGCACTATATATTCCATTGTTTTATGTAGACATATAAATATAATTACCTGTATCAATACACG